ATCATTTCAGAAAAAAAAATTGTACTTTTTCTTGCAAGGGTTCTGGTTACAGTCTAGGGCTGGCTGCCAGTAATAGTTGTTTAGAGGGAAAAATACCTTGAATTCTAGTATTTTCTTGCATTCAGGGATGAGATCTACTTTGAATAGTGGACCTTTTATGTGTCTGAAATTAATTAATACATTACATTTGTTTGGCAGAGTTTCCTGAGACAATTCCCTCACTGCTTATGCAATGCTATTTTGGAACATTAATAAACGTCGTACCATGTTTTTAATCATCTGGAAGAACCAGTCAAGCAGCACAACATTCTTCCCTAAAGATTCTTCTTCTCAACTGAACTGAAGCACACGATTTCCTATAGCTCTGAAAAACAGTTCTATCACTATCGATTTCACTTTTATTTTTGGCCTCTGTCACATATTTAGAACACGTTTATAAGACCGTAAAAAAAGAAGATAAAGATTGCATGTTGTGGTCTGATAATCACAAAATGATGGGACAAACAAAATGTATTTAAAAACAAAACTAAAAAAGTCAGGGGCTGCAGCTTTAAGAATAATAAACAAGTGCAAAAAACATGAAGGAAAGCAGTGGAAAGTAAAATAGTTATGATCATTATCTTTATTATTATTGGTATAATTTTTGAGAAAAGGCAGCTGTGTAGGAGTGACCTTTGCCTGTTGAATGGGATGCCCTTCCTCTCGGCAATAACTGCAACTGTCTCACAGCGGGTTGGACATCACATGTATTGATCTGACTAATGCGGCTGGAAAGGCTGCAGGCCAGAACGGCTTTTGATCAATATTTATCTTAATTACACGAACACTATAGTTTGCCCCTCAGACTATAAAAATGCCCCTTCATTGCTGACTTGCCCAATCTTTCTCCTGCACTGGTATCAACACTTTCAGTCTGCTTTCAGTTAAAACGGCTTGACTTTAGAAGTGCAATTTTCACCCCAAAGTCAGACAATAGTTTTGCTAATTACTTGCATTTAGAGCTATTTTTGTTTCTTTTGTATACAGAAAAGATAACAATTAGTAGCGTTTTAGTTGCAACACAATGTTTTTCCCTATTTTATGTAGATAGTGTGTCTAGATCGCATGTATTTAAGATTCTCGTTGCTCTTTCTGACTTGAATCCTGGATAGCAGTGCTGGTGAGTATAAATTCTTACATTTGGAACATCAGTGTTTTTTCGCAGAATGTCCCTTACCTTTTCCTCAACCTACTATTTCCCACAATCCTTTTCTCTCTCCCTGAGGAAAGTATAATGGGTGGCTATATTCAGTCTGCGTGCGTCACTCCCTCCCGCATAGTTGCATGAAGATATCTGCCTATCCATTTGTGTTTGTGTATGAATGAACACAGTTTAAGACCATGACGACAATACATACTTTATTAATAGTTCTAATTAGGCCATTTCATTCTCCTCTTTTTATTTGTTCAGGTTGCTTTGGTTTGCTGTCAGAGTGATGAGACCTGACTGTTGCCATGGCATTTGAATGGGCAAAAGTCCTGAAAATGGCGCCCATAACAAGATGTTTGAAGAAGTGTATTTGCCGGTCACTGTTTGATATGTTTGATATTCGGTTGTTCTTATATCAGCCTTGTCAACTAAATATCAAACATATTTCCACAGAGGCCGGCGCTGTCGTCTGAAACCAGCACAAAAACCGTCCCCAAAGCAAAAAGTATGTAAATACAATGTTTTGAATTGATGTTATCAGAGCTGCACACATGACTGTAATTCCAGACCGCGCGTTCAAATAAACCGTACTAACCAGACCTACTACAAAGATACTTATATTCATAGATGTAGCTGTACGTAAATACACACTGTCTCCTTCAAGTAAATTTAATTAACAATAACTTACATTTTGTAATTATCACAAAGCAAAGAACTATTCCTTTTATTTATATTTGATTGTGTTTTATGTTTAACACAGCTTATATGTGCAAACCCAGGACACGGTGGAGGGACTCTCAGCTCAGGATTCCCACAGACAGAACAAATACATTTAGGAAACCAAAAATTTACTCAAGTGCAGTGTCTGAAGGCTTCTAGGTCACCATTAAAGAACAGGCTTTTGACCACAGTATATCAACACATGGTCTGATGTGCATTTTAGTGCGTTTTGTGCTTGAAAGCCTGATGTGTGGACAGAGAAGACACAGTTTATCTCTGCTCAGACTGCTGCGTCTGTAATCCAACAACCTACAAAGTCAAAGAAAATAAATGCATTTGTTTTTTGTTTTTAATGTTATATTCGAGTGCTCCCGTCATCTTATTTTGAGTCCTTATAATCCTTTCTGCTCTGTACTGTGTTGCAACAATGACGTTTCTCCAGGAATAAAAGTTCACAACAGCAGCTTGTTTCTTTTTTTGAAAATCTGAAACTCTAAACACATCCAACTAATTGTTTTTCTCAGTTATTTTCAGTGTTCACTGAAGCTGTTATGGCTTTGATAAAAGTTCTCTTAAGCATATGCATGTGTATGTATATCTTCCATATGCACACCGACACAACACATTGACTTTGGTGATGTCTGTCTCTTGATGTAAATAAATTAAAATTCTGGTCGGAACAGGGCCTTTCTGAGTGGAATTTGCATGTTCTCCCCGTGTCTGCGTAGGTTTCCTCCGGGTACTCCGGTTTCCCCTACCACTAAAAACATGTACAACAGTTCAGGGTGAATGAGTGTGTGAGTGCGAATGTGGGACAACGGATGCAATTTAGCTCATGGCTACAATCTGGAGTGATGTGTTCATTAACATGTACTGTCCCAACCAAATAAACAAAAAGACTAACAACTAATAGTAGTATTAATAATGATAATAATAACAACAAATTAACAGTTCAAATCCTAAGCATGATTTAAAGTGTTTATTTCCTTCCTGTAACTTCATAGTTGTCACTTTCATGTCACACACACAAAAAAAATCGGATTATATCTTGAAGGAATTTGTCTGGATTAAATGGGAACACAACGTGTTAAATTATTTAATACTATCCCATCAGTGTCGTCATTACTGCTGATGCTAACAAGGTTTAAATAAACACTTCCTTCCTATTAATTATACAATATGTAGTTCTGTGATCCACAGCTCATGAGATCATTAAAGATGATAAATAAAGCTGTGAAGTCCTACAGTAAGCAAAGACAGAGCAGAAGATTCTAAGAAAAGGCTGTGCCGTATAACAAATAAGAATTATATTTAAATAATAATCATAGACATAGCAAGTTCTAAAATTAGATTAATGAACTAAAAAAATCAAATTAAATTATGCGCATGAGTGAATTGTTATAATTACAGCAGTTGAAGGCACGGTTACAAGCGGATTCTTTAAAGGGAAAGTGCGTGTATGGATTTTTGGAGATCGAGATGGTATGGAAACCAAATGTAAACCAGTAAAGCATTGAATTAATACACAAAAACTTTGTCCAGCTTAACTCGGACAGATCATAAGATATTATTTTTGGGTTGTCAGAAAGCTTTATCTGTCACCTCCAGTCGCTTTCCATAAAACCCACAAATCAGGTAGGAAATCTAGGGATAATAACTAACTTAAATGTCAAGACCCACATAACAAAAACATAGTGTCTAAAGCAGACTTGGAGATTCTTATCCATGCATTTGTCTCCAGTAGGTTAGACTACTGCAATGGCCTGCTCACAGGTCTGTCCAAACAGGCTGTAAAACAGCTGCAGTACATTCAAAATGCAGCAGCTCGAGTGACATTAGTCCAGTCCTCAGGTCTCTGCACTGGCTTCCTGTGGCTCAGAGAATAGACTTTAAAGCAGCTCTGCTTGTGTACAAGTCTCTCCATGGCCTCGCACTAACGTACATCAGTGACATGTTAGTCCCATATGAACCAACTCGAAGTCTGATGAGCGCAGGGACTGGCCTCCTGCTGGGACTTTGAGGAGCACAGGGTCTGGCAATGTGGTGATGAGTCTTGCCCCAGGACACAACAACAGTGGTGTTAATTATGTAAGAATAGGGGTTGAAAATGTAACTTTAAAAAAAAAGTATGATAAAGATAAAACATTTATTGACATTATAGCAGCAATCAAATTTCTCATCATTCTGAAACCGATGAAGATTAATGTGTACTATAACCTTTTTACGTGATTTCAAAACCAACTTGAAAGTGGATGGAGATGCTGGTAGATCTGGTACACTGTGATGCAAATTGTTACTGTCTAAATGTCTAAAGGTTGTTGACTCACCTCCATGTGCCGGGACAATGAGCCGCTGGTCAAATGCACTGAGCGATTGTCTGCAGTGGGGTCAAACGGTGGCCTGTGTGAGACAAATGTTATCTGAAACCATGCACATTGTATGTCCTGGGTGCTAAGTGAAGCAGCACAATGACGACAGTAATAAAGCCAGCATTAATTAACAAAGGGGAAGGAGGGAAAATAATGAGAGAAAATGAGCGAATGGATGAAGGGTTAGTTAGAGTATAAATATGTGAGAGAAGAGAGAGGACAGCAGTTTTGTCTTGACGAGTATAACCTTTGAAACAGGAGAGGAAGCATCGAGCTCAGGCAAATACAAGGACCACTGAAAACAGGTAGGATGCATGCCAAGTTTTTTTTGGGTTTCCTTTTAATCACTATATTGTGCCCTATTTTGTTTTCAAGAATATTGAGTCAGGTTTGCCATCAAGTTGCTCACTTTTGCTAGTTATTACATGCTAAAACACATACACACAAAAAAAATCTTATTTTGTTTTATTTTGTTTTTCTTTCGATGTTTTTGTTGGAAAGTCAAAAGCATAACCAAGTAAGAAATATATTATCTGCAAATTATATATGAGCGTGTTGGCAATGTGATCTCATGCACTTTATCTGTAGTGTTGCAGTGGCAGCAACTTTAGGGGCTTGCGCCAGTCCTTGTCTTTCATATTATTCAGGGAGAAAAAAATAATAATAAATTGTGTCTCCTCTTAAATGATTTTGAGCTGACTTTTGTGCTTTTTGTTAAAGATATGGCCGTCACAGTGCGAGGACTGCTACTGCCTTTGCTGCTCAGCTTCGGTGTGCCATGTATATGTGTCTACAGCAGCAGCGGAGAATGCTTCTTCAACACAAAAGGTGAGATTGATGCTTTGTTTTATTGTATTTATCTATCTTTATTTCATTTTTAAATTAATTATTCATTCTGTTTAGAACCTTTTTTATTTATTCATTTTTTTTTAAATGATTTTTATTTTACTATTTTGTTTTCTATTCTATTTCTTAGCTTCTCTGTCTATCACAAGAGAAAAGGGGATGTGGGGAACAAAAAGGAGACAAAAAGTAAAGTGTGCTGCATGCCAACCTTATAGATCCATGATGCCAACCAGTGCAAAAATGTAAATACAATGGAATAGTTTCTGTGAGGTTGGACATGAATGCACCTCTGGACTCTCTTGGCACCTACTCGTCTCAGTTTGGTCACTCAGGGGTTAGGATTGTTACTTTTGATGATGAATTTGTTTAATCGGATGAACATTTACAATCTTACATTGACACAACTAATCTTTATTTCATAAAAGTGAGGTTTGAAACAATTACAAATGTAAAACTAATCAATAACTTCTTGTTCAGGGACGTGTGAATACATGGACCAAACCTTTACCATGGGAGAGAGCTGGATGACGAGTGACTGTCTCCAATGTGTCTGTATGGAGCCTTTTGGTGTGGGCTGCTGTGATCAGTGAGTTTTATATACTAACCTTAGTAACATAACATTGTAAAACGTTATATCATTTGTTCTTTTATATTGAGAAATGTTGGTAAAGATCTTGTTCTTAAGTGCTGTGTTTATCTTTTTGTCTTTAAACCTAAAACTATCCCTTGTCCATTATAGGCTGCAGCATTGCATCTATCATTTACAAAAATATATCTCTTTTTATATACTGTATGTGAACATCCAAGGCCAAGTGATTAAATCGCCATGGTGACAAGCCGACAACCCTCCGCTAGAAAGGTTACATAGAAAACCTTTAACATTTTATTGTCCATATATATGTTATTGAGATTTTCAATGTAACACAGCACACAGCTTCAGTCAACAATTTAACAGAGTAGTTCAGTACTACAAGATGATTTTAATATAAAACAAAATAAAAAAAACATAAAAACAATAAACCAGGCCTACTGAGAATTTATAGCTTATCTTAAATTGAGAGAAATTATATCCACACAGTGTAAATAACTGTGTAAATAACTGCATTACATGTCTTTTTTGTATTTTTTTTATATAATTTGTCAATAATAAAGTCAATAAAGGGTCCCCAAATTATTTCAAATATTTGTTGTTTTGACTTATGGAAATACGTTATTATTTCTTTTTTTTTTTTATATAATTGTCTTTATTTTCAGTATTTCAAGGTCTGACAACTTATGGCAGATGGCAATAACAGTTCAAAACAAGAAGAAAAAATAAAAATAAAAAAAATAAAAATAAAAAGATGCCCCAGCTGCAGCCAAAAAATAAATAAATAATATATATATATATACACACATGCACACATACACATATACATACATATATATATATATATATATATACTGTATACACATACACATACATGCATACATACATATACACAGTTCAAAATTGTTCTCTGCAAAAAAGAAAAGGGATAAAAATATTAAATCAATAAAGGCATCAGTCATAAAAAAAAATATATATATATATATATACATATATATATTAAAGAAAAAGGGTCATAACAAAAGTAGATAAACAAACCAGAGGATCCAACAGACCAGAGAAAGACAAATAAGACACATACAGACGAAACACTTACAAAGACAGACAGATAAGACACAGACAATGACAAGATACAGACAAAGACAGACAGACAAGACACAAATGGACAAGACATCTACAAAAAAAAAAAAAAAAAAAAAAAAAAAAAAAAAAAAAAGACAACTTTCACTCCCATTCACATTCATCTCACTCCTGGTGTTTCACTCCTTCTATAGGTCTGAATATATTTGGAATTGCTTTTATTTTTATTTTTTAAATGTATGGTCAGTGTTGGGCTGATTATAGGGCGTCATAAATTGTTCCCCATACATAGTTAAATTGTGCTTGGTTATTTTTTTCCGCTAACAGGGTTCTTTCAAGGCTTAAATAATATTTTAGTAAGGACTTCCATTTATCTAATCCTGGAACGTCTCGACTTTTCCAATTCTGTAAGATTATTTTTTTGTAAACCAGTGCAGAAAAAATTATTTGCCATCCCATTGGATATCTAACTTTGTCCATGTTCTGAAGTAGACAAACTTTAGGCGTAAGGACAAATTTCTGCTTACATACATTTGAAAGCCATGTTTCAATGGCTGTCCAGGATCTTCGTATATTCTCACAATACCAAAAAGCATGGATGAGCGAGTCCCTTTGATCGCATCTCAGACATGTGGGAGCAGATGTGGAATCAAATTTGTGTATTCTATCCCTGCTATAGTACATTCTAGTCATTAATTTATATTGGATCAATCGGAGGTTTTCATTAGTGGTGGCTGAGTATGTAAGTCGTAATCCATCTTTCCATTTTATTTCAGTATCAGAACTATTCATGTCCTTGTTCCAGTTCTCGTATATTTTTTTAAAAAGATCCTTACTGCTCTTAGGTGTGATAAGCCATTGGTAAAGGGTGGAAATAAGTCTCTTTCGTTTGTCTCCTTCAAATATTTGTCTCAATTTTTCTGGGACTATCATCTTGGTGTCACAATGTTCTTTTATCCAGTTTGTCAGTTGCATATATTTAAATACTTCGGAGTTTTTAAGTTTGAATTTCACCTGAAGATCATCAAAGGGAGTAGCGTGATTGGAAGTTATTATATCAGATAATGCTTTAATGCCACTTTGCATCCAAGCTTCCCATCTTAAGGTGGTACCTTGAATTTTTATAGAAGGGTTATTCCAGATCCCAATATGAGTAGGGGTACCCACTTCTACATGTAGCAGTCGTTTTGTCCTTTTCCACATTTTCAGGGTGCTATTGATAACAAAGTTATTGCCCTTCACTTTTTTCTCAGAGAATAACGCTGATAAAAAATTTCCCGGTTGTAATTGGTAATTCTCTATTTCAATCCATGGATCTTCGTTAGTGTGGTTAATGATACGATCTATATAGAACATCTGTGCTGCAGTCTGATACAGCTCCATATTAGGGAGGCTTAACCCTCCTTCGTGTTTGGGAAGAAATAATATGTTCCTTTTGATTCTAGGAGTTTTGCAAGCCCAAATAAAGGATGAGATAATTGAATTTATGTCTTTGTAAAATGTTTTCGGTGGGTTCAAAGGTATACATTGAAAAATATACAAAAACTTTGGAAGCCATATCATTTTTATTACATTTATTCTGCCAATTAAGTTTAACCTTAGGTCAGAATACTTATCAAGACTATGTTTAAATTCATTTTTTAACCCTTGAAAGTTATTCTTAAACAATGTTCTTTTATCAGCGCTTATATAGCAGCCTAAGTATTTAATTTTAGTTTGTACCTTAAATTGTTTTAATTGTTCCATTTACGTTACGTTACGGAAATACGTTATTATTTCTAAAGGTAAGCCAAGTGACATCTGCTTTAACCAGTGAGCTGAAGTATTTTTTTTTTTTTTTTTTTACCTTTGATATGTTTGTACAGTTCTGTTTTTTGCACAATATGACTTGCAAATTCCCCCAGTGCAAGATCAATAAAGTCTATCTTATCTTATCTTATAAAAGTAATTTTTGCTTTACTATATTTATGTTTATCTGGATATAAAGCCATTATGAATAGTTTATCATTTGTTTTAATATTATTTTTTCTATAACATTTTTAACTTCCAGCCAAACGTTTTTTATATGGCTACATTCCCACATACAGTGAAATCACGTAGCTTTTGAGCCAAATTTTATACGTCTGGAATATTCTCATTATACCTATTAAGTTTGACAGAGTTATATATACGCGCATGACCCATATGTATCGCAATATCCTAAGACGACTATTAATTGACATGCTCTTTTCCAATCGGATTCACTAATATTGACTGATATATCCTTTCCCAGGAAACCAATTTCTTGATTGCATTCTCTGATGTATAGCTTGACAAAAGATTGTAAAACTCTAAGATGTTGCCTGTCCATAAAACCTTATGGACCTAAGTATTTTTTCAAAACAAAAAAACTTGATTTTCTCTTGATTTGTCTATGGGTTGAAGATTTGTAATTGTTTTGGAGCACCGATATTTTCCATTCTCTCCAGACGCGTTGATGACATTAAATTCAGACCTATTGAGCATGTTTGTTGTGGTAGGGGAAACCAAAGCGCAGACACGGGGTACAATAAGATAATAAGAAATCTATTGAGTAAGAATAAGAAAATATTTGTCTAAACTGTAAATAACTTATAACCGGAATTTATTGAGTAAAGACAACAACTGTCAAGTGTTTATACTGTAAAGTTAATCCTTTATTTCAACTACATGGTTGTTCTACAGGTTAGACCTTTAATATTCAGGTTATACCTCTAAAAGAATAGTCCTAAATGTGCGCATATTGTGTATTAAATAAACACTTTAATTCGTTTTTGAAGTTGTCATTATTATCTTGAAAAAAACTATACATACAGGATATAAAAAATTGCATTGTAATATCCCAATTATACATATTGCCGAAATTGTGCACCCCGAAAATAAACAGTGTATACCATGCACCAACCACAAAAATCCCTTGCCTTGCTCTCCTCAGGGGATCGAAGCCTGTGGACTATCCAGACTGGTGCGAGATCATTCGAAAACCTGACTCCTGCACGAGTGTCGCTGTGATGAAGACCAACCACAAGCTACCGTGTCTGTGGGGACGAGGACGCCTCCACACTGCCTCCGGACAACCCTGGAAATCTGACAATGATCTATTATTTTGACCTGTTTGCATTTGACCCATATCTGTATTTATCATAGCATGTTCTAAATTACCTTCAGAAACATTAATTGTATTTTTGTATTGTATAGATAGATACATAGTGTAGTAGTAGTAATTTTTATTTATATACTGCCTTTTCACTGCACATCAGAGTCTCAAAGCGGTTTACAATTGTGATTTTTTTTGGGAGTGGTGGCGCCAGTACAGGAGGCACATGCCAGACCTATTGTACATATTTTTAGTGGTAGGGGAAACCAGAGCACCCGGAGGAAACCTACACAGACACGGGGAGAACATGCAAACTCCACTCAGAAAGGCCCTGGTCCAACCCGGATTCGAACCCAGGACCTTCTTGCTGAGAGGCGAGAGTGCTATCCACTCAGCCACCGTGCCGCCCAAACTAGATACATACATAGTTTGATAGATACTAGATAGATAGATAGATAGATAGATAGATAGATAGATAGATAGATAGATAGATAGATAGATAGATAGATAGATAGATAGATAGATAGATAGATAGACATAGACTTTTTAGACAGAGTAGCTACGTATTTTGTTTCCAAAATCATTTAGTGATGTGGTTTTAATTAATTAATTTGTTTTATTTATCAGTAACTGCATTATGGAAAAGTTGGTATCTGGTGCTAAGACAAGAGTATACTGTTCCTTAAAATAAAGATGATTAAACAAATATTTGTTTTCAATTGCACATACATCTTTACTGGGGATTTCTTGAATCCCTGCGGCTCAGAGTCCACAAGATTGCAAAATTCAATACTGTACTCTCTCTACCCAACTGTTTTGGTTGTTTATTATTTGTATATTTAGATATTGGCTATTCTGATGATGAGACTTGCATACCCTTAATTCAATCAAGGATAACAGTCAAACCACAAACAATTGAACTTTGCAACAAATTAATATAGTTTATAGCTCTCACAGATTAGTAGCAGTTTTCACATGCATGGATTCTTGTTACATCTTCAGAATTACCAGACAGTCAGGTGTAAAATATAGGACCACCTTCAGCTAATCAGCTCTCAGCTCTTAGACACCATGTTGTGGTCTGATTTTTTAAGAACATTTTACCATTTCTACTGTTGGGCCTGACAACTTGTACATTATTTATTTTATTACATGTTATATAGTAGATATAATTTTAAAATGTTAATACTGAATAGGCAATTACTTACATAACAGACTCAGGGATTGTTCGCCTTCACTTCTCCTTAATTTATTTTTTGTGAGTGAGAAAAATACCATGGATCTATTATAATAACGACTGATAATAATAGGCGCGTGTTTTTGACGTCACAATGGTGCGCTCGGTTCGTGGGAACTTTGCATGGAACTTTGCTTGGATGTATTATATTAACGCTAGCTCAAATAAAGTTGGTAAATAATGTAGAAAGAACACATAATTTCCGTGCTTTTATTGAACAGTTACGGTATAGAAAACATGTGGATTCTTTCTCCGTTGCCGCCAGGAGGTAATTTCAGTAGAAAAAAAAAGCATGACACAGATTACAGACTGCTAGCTAACCAAAGCTAAAACCATTGCACCATGAGGTTTATATCAGTCATAGAATAGAAGTAGCAGTGATTAATTACGTCATGTTCCATCTTTGTATAGTTTTAAAATGTAGACATTTGATAATGATATGACACGACAATGGCACTCGTTTAATAAGTAATATATGTCTTTCACAGGAGAAACCCTCTACCTTCAGACTAGTAAAAACTATGTGGTCGGGAGAAAAACCTGCGACGTTATTTTATCTGAGGACCAGTCCATCAGCCGAGCTCATGCACTGCTCAGCACCACGGAGCAGGTGAGGAACCAGCTGATCACATAGGAGCAAAACATCTGTCATACAGCAGTCATTAAGGAAAGAATGGAAATGTATTTAAAAAGTGCATTTCACATGACTGCAACTTAATGCGCTTAGCAAAGACAATACAACAAAACAAGACATTTAACACTAATAGTGACACATTCTACAATCTAAAGAGAAGAAAGTCCTCTCTTGAATGAGCTCAGTGTCTGAGCATGTTTGATATCATTAAGCAGAGCATTCTATTTACAAGGAGCATACTGGGAGAGGACGTACAGTGTCGCTTACTTTCAGTTTTACTCAATAAATGGTAAGAAGGTTGAAGTCCGTGGGTGTGAGCAGAGTAAGGGTAAATATGTAATATACAGCGCTAGACTGGAGGGCCTGAGGAGCTAATTAAGTCATATTTTAACATGGAATATATTAGTATATAATATTATTTTTGCAGATACATAGATACTTTATTGATCTCCGTTGGAGAAATTCAAGCAACCAGGAGCAGCAAAAATAAAAAATAAAATTGATCATTCCAAAAAGCTAACAATAGTAAATAGTCAGCAGCAGCCCTTCAGGTCACAGCAGCAAAGGTGGTGTCGCCTCTGGGTCGAGCTGGACAAGTCACAAGGTGGAGTAGCTGCTTGGTTCAGACTATTTTCTCTGCTTTATTCCAAAGTAAAATGTTAAATGCTTCATTAGCATTTTAAAAAAAAATAGCGTTCATCCAATGGATTTTCGCCTGATCCGCTTGGCTCAGACCATGAAACCTCTCTGCTCTGGTCTGGACCAGTGCAAAACCATGAACACTGTACTGCCGCGTCATCTCAGGTAGAAAGAAGCAAGAAAAAGAAAATTTGTAAAGCACAAAACAACAACGGCTCACCTTTCACATAAAAATCGGCAAGCGCTTAACATAAAATAAATAAAAATGAAAAGAGTAAAGTTATTTAAAAAAAAGAGGACAAGGGATGTTTGCACCATTCAACTAAAATCTATTCTATGTAAAAAGGCTGCCTATTCATGGTATCATTTTTTAACAGAGGGCATTGCGGCTGGACTTGTATAACTTGACAAACTAAAATCCACTAACACATGAATGCAGAGCTGACCATAAGCTATGTACAACACATAGGTTTGGGTTACTTTATGGGAATTAGATAGCTATACAAGTGATCTGGATCTCTGTGTGGTTAATCTTCCACAACTTATTCATGAATTGATCATTGAAGTAACTGAAAAAGACATCAACTTGAATGTACTTTTGTAGCCATATGTGTGCATATGTGTTGTATTAAGATTGATAAATATTTAGTCTTAAATAATAGAAACCACTTGTTGTGCCTGTAAGGGTAGATGATGTCTACAGACTTGTTCAAAGTTTCATTTGAATCTTTATCACTTCATATTTATGGTGTAATTTACATTGTGCTTTAAGGACACTGAAATAAGATTACTTTTTCACCTACATCAAAACCTGCTCATTTTGGTTCTGATGAGTGAAAATCATGAAAAGTCTGTTTTGTTTTCAGACTCTAACTGTGAAGGATACGTCCAAGTACGGAACCTCTGTCAACGGAAAGCGTTTGGTTGAGAATACACCAGTCAATGTGACATCTGGGAGCAACATCACATTCGGGGTCTTCAACAGCAAGTTCAGGTAAAATAGGTTAACCCTGTAGGTAATCACCTCTAGAACATGTTTGGTTTTTCACTTTTTTTTCGGTGTTCCTCTAAACTCTAAAGTGTGTTCTGTTGTAGAGTGGAGCATATGCAGCCTGTGGTTTGTTCTTCTTGTCTGGACACCGATGGAAAGGCATCTCTCTCTGAAGCACTGCAGTTTGTGGGCGGGAAACTGGTGGGAACGTGGAAGCAGGAGTGCACACACCTCATCATGTCCACGGTCAAAGTCACCATCAAGGTCAGGACACAAGTGCATCCAAATTCAAACAAGAAATACTTTCTTCTGCTTTTCATTGAGCGGCGTGAGAAATAAAAAATATAATTTTTACCCAACCATACATGAAATCTGCCCAGCCAAGGGTCAATTTAAAATGAGTGAGAATGTATTTTTGAATTAGGATGCAGTCTGATACTTAAGCTCCGCACATTAGTACCAATTTCGTATTACCAACAGAGATGGTATTATGAAAACTGCATTCTACACAGTTTTCTCCACCAAATGTTAAATGTGTTATTTTCTATGAATATTGCATTTATTTCCCATATAGACTATTTGTGCTCTTCTGAGCGGCTGCCCAATTGTGAAGCCAGAGTTCTTCTCAGCTCTGCGTGCAGCCGTCCAAAACAAATCCCCTCCTCCTGAAGCCGACAGGTGTCTGCTGTAATTTTTCATGTTCAAATGAATATTATTATATTATTTATAGTGTATTTTGTTAAGGTTCATACCAGAGATCAATGAGCCCAGCCTGAACAAGGACAAAATAAAAATTGGAGTCATTTCTGAACGCAGGGAGCTCTTTGCCGGAAAGACCTTTGTTTTTCTAAATGCTAAACAGGTACGACTTCTTTTACATATTTTTTCAAAATGTTTAGGATTCATTTGCCAAAACTTTTCTATGCTTGGATAATCCTTTATGATTAAACAACTAAAGATTAGCCTTATTTCACAAATGAGAATAAGACACATTTTTTTAATCATAATTTGAAGTCTACTCTAGGGACTGAGTGGTATCCAAGAATCGTATTACAATAAATGTGGAGCTCCTTACTTGTGCCTCCCTCAGCTGTGCATAGATTGTCAACTGTGCATAAAAAACACAATTCTGGGAAAAGTGAATATGTCTAAGATAAGATAGACCTCAAAACTATTGCTCCCTGGTTAGTTATAGTACTGACATTTGCATTTATAGACCAATATTATCATCAAAGTAAGTCCATTAGGAGGGTGCGTCTTTGACAAACCCAGTGACATAACGTTCGGTTAAAACTCACAATAATGACATCTTAGCTTTAAAAGAATCAAGTTAAACCAGTTATCAACCCTTCCCTACTCATCACTGCCTCAGTTCATTATTCACCGTGTCTGTTTTCAGCTGACACGCCTCAGCGCCGCAGTCTCCTGTGGAGGCGGCCACTGTTTACTGCTGGACGAGGGTTCTCTGCCGCGCGACGTCCTGGAGTCGCCCCAGAGCTGTGTGGTCGACGTCACGTCCACAGCCTCTCAGCCACTGCTGCCCCAGACCACTGAGCACTGGCTCAACGCTGTCAAGAGCATCGTTGACAAGTGACTGAATAAACCAAACCAAAGATTATCCTTTGTTTTATCTCAGGACTGATTCCAATGACCTTGTGGTTTGTAGGAAGGGTCTGCGAGTCATAACGGAGTCTGAAATTGGGATAGCAGCCATATATGCCTCATGTGACTCATACTGCAATGCCTCTCGTTCGACAGATAGGGGTGAGATTCAAGTGTGACTATTTCATGTTTGTTTTGGTGTACCCTGCAACTACAAGGCTCTCTGCAGAATTCTGCAAATGTTTAACTAAATCTTGTTTAACTACACTGGAAGAAGACCTCAGGTGCTTCTGTCTGTGATATAGTGATAATCCATGACACCTGTGGCTCATTATTATAGTGTTACAGTGGTACAGTGCAATTCTTAATATCAATATTGATCTAATTCCATAAAATGATTATGCAGAGTATTTGTAACACACCAAAGACGCTTCGCTTGGCATTATTCAGTCACTTCATACATTGTGGTGATAAAGTACTGTTGTAGTCACAGCTGCCCCGGGGCAGATGGAAGCAGGGATCACTTTACAGCCTAAGCTGCCCCACTGTGACACCTGGTGTTACCAGAGTTCACAGTACTAACCAGGCCCTGCCTTCATTGGCTTCTGAAATCTCATCAGGCTTTCACATGCAGGTGGCGCCACCTGCATGTGAAAGCCTAATCCTCTGGGCCTTCATTTCAGCACATAACACATAACACATATCACATCCTCAATAAAATCTATGGGCATTCTCACAGTTCAAGTTTATATTTGACTGAATTGTTTGATAAATCTTGTGTGTTGTAGATTCTGTTCCCCATGTGAAGTCCCGCATCCCGAGTGCGTCGCTGTCCCAGAGTGTAGCCGTGGATGAAACCATGTTGGCGGCTCCTTCGCCGAACATCACTGCCTACGCAGCCAATACAGAGCCTTCACAAGGGTATAATATCACTGCACTTAACAGATTATACACACCATATTACACAACCCAAAGGTTCAAGATGATAAACATTGGGGCTTCACTCAATGCAATTCTTTTAAGGATTGATTGAGTGAAGCACCAATGTTTTAGATTTGAGATTGTGGTATCAGAGTATTCTAAAGCAGGGATGTCAAATACAAGGGCCAAAAAAACAAATTTTGTACAAGCCGAGGGCCGAACTGGTTTAATGTTTATTAAAACATCAAAATGCTTAAAAATGCTTAAAACCTATTGAACCAAGAGCTTACACAGTAGGGTTTAATATTTTTCCCGAAAATGAGACGTATCATATCCCGGGAAAAGACGACGCCTTTCCCGGGAAATCCCGGGAAATAGCTGTTGTTTGTAGTTGTTGTTTTTAGCCCAAGTAATGTATGATATCACTCAAATATATAATCCAACAAAAGCTGCCATCTCCACTAGTGTTTCACCAAGTGACTTGCTAGCTTTTATAAAGTAGCCATAGCGTTTTCAGACGTTTTGTTGATGGGCTTTCTTCAGGAATTTCACTATTATGAGATTCTAAATGTCTGCGCAATCCACTTGTCGAAAAGTGACGTGCGGTGTGGTTTGGAGGCACTGACTTCAGCCCAATCAGATGAACATATATCATATAAATCAACAGAACCTACAGAGCGGCTTATTCACAATTAGTTTGGCTACAGCAGAATGTTTTCCATGGCCCGCATTGTTTGCTCAAACAAAACGCAAAAGTTCGTAAAAGGCACATTTCCAATTGTGTTATGGGTCTTACCTTAGTTATTAATGAACAGCAACAGACCACTTCAGTTCAGACCAGTTTCATGTTTAAGTCCATATAATAGTTTGAGCGTAGATATGTAATCCCCCATTTGGAAATAAGCCCAAAGAGTTTTAAAGCGTAAAACAAAACGGGTGCCACCTCCATAAACTCCTCCGTGTGTTCGCTGCAGCCGACTCTCGGGCGCATCCAATTTCTAATATCAACCTTCTTACCCTTCTCCTCTCTTCCTTATCATTCCTGTCGTCATTGTAAGCAGAACATTACCCTAAATGCATTTTATATGATTTTAAAATGTGTTATATGTATGTTAGCCAAACCTGTTGCTGCCCTTAGCAGATAGAAAAAAAGAAAGGAGCTTTCTGATAGAATTGGACGTAACCAAATTCTGGGCTCTCATGTGCCCCGTACCCTGAGGCTGGCCTCATTGCAAGTCGTGGTTTAGCGCGATTAAGACCCATATTTGTTGTCAAAAACACAATTTAGGAGCCATCCTCTCAGCTGTAGACATGTTGATTGTAAATGAAATATGTTTGAACTTTGAACAACAATAAACGTGCTTTATAATAGGAGCGCACTGTATTTTTTTTTTAACTTTCATTTCCCGTTTCCCGTCATAACATTTCCCGGGAATCGGGAAATAGTTTTCATCAGATTTCCCTGGAATCCCGTATCCCGGGATTAAACCCTATTACACAGTGTACCATATAATTTGATTATTTCCTTTAGAAAACACATTAAATGATTATTTCCAATATTTTCTTCTCTTCAGACTCTGTGTGGGCCGGTTCCAATAATAATCAAATATCATCCTGGGGGCCAAGATAATTAATTTGCGGGCCTGATCTGGCCCCCCGGCCTTGACTTTGACACCCATGTTCTAAAGCTTTGAAAATAGTGAGACTAACTTATCCAAAAGACCATGAAAAAAGGACATAACTTGCTCCTGTCTGCTTTTTAGTGACTTTTCTATTCTACTCTTCCCCTTTCAGGTGGTTAGAAAAGTGTGTGGTGAGGGATTAAACAGCCTTAAATCTGATACTTCACAGATTTGACTTATTTTGGGTTATTTTTAGAACGTAACCCCGCAATAAACGAGGGACTATTGTACAACCGTTTGAAATGTTGATTTTAGAGAAGGTTGTTAAGAGGGCTGTGTCTCCTGCAGGTGTGATCGGCGAGAGGTTTCTGGGATTTCTGCCGTGAGGGAGACGCCAGAAAAAAACTTCAAATCTAAAACTCCTGAAACAAAGCAGAAAAGGGACTCGCAGTATTTTGTAGCTGAATCTCGGAGCTTCTCGCTCAGCACCGAGGAGCAGACGGAGTCAAAACAAACAATAGAGGAATCCAAATTGACAGGTACCGTACAGAAAAAACTTGCATTATCAAGAGTTTTTTAGCAGGTATTTGCTTCTCAAAGTGGGACATAATGCTGGTTTCAAGAGAACATACGCTAAACGCTTTTCTGTGTATTATACTAACTATTTGACACAGCCTTCAAACATTTAAGTAGAGTTAGGGGACTGAAGGGACTGCGCCTGGGGTCTCTGCTTAGACTGTTGTCCCTGCAATGGATGGAGTGTAATTAGGACTTATAAAACAAAACAAAAATACTCAAAATAAAAACTCTACAATGGACTGGGCACTAAAACTTTTAACCACTTAGTTTGCTCTTAGGTTGGTGATTTTGTGTATCTCATTGTTAGTTTTCCTAAACATTGTTGTGGTATATGGTTCTCAACCAATGCAGGCAGCTTTTGTTTCAGATATATTTTAGATTATTATTCTTACCAGTAAATTTAATGTGGTTTTAATCCGATATAATCTGATTTTGACATTGTGTGGCCCTGGAAACAAAACTTGATGGCGAAATATTTTCCTTAAACATTAACATTTCAACTTTCTGTTTTTGCAGAAGACGGGCCGGTTGGCCGTCCACCTCAGCCAGTCTTCAAACAGCCTGAACGTGCAAAGGCTTTATCACAAAAACTGTTCTCTCAGAAAACCAGGACTTTTGAACAAGGATCACCTCAAAAACGATCCCCACAAAAGCAGTCTGCGCTTACAAGCTTCTTTCAGCCGGTCAACAAGAAAAGGTAAACATGCAGTCTATTTACTGGTCCTGTCCATGGAGTTGCCTGAGGATTTTTAACATCAGTTTCAATATTAAATGCATGGGGGACTTCCATCACTCAGTATCTCCCAGTCCGGAATCTCAGTTTGTGGCCCTAGCTCACGAGTAGGATTGTAACAAGTTATTTGATTAATCACAACTATTTCATTTAAAATAGTTGTGATAATATGTTTTCTTTATTCCCCAAACTGCTGCAATCACCGCCGAATGAAATAGAAATATTTAAATCAAACAACCATTTAGGTTTCAACTCATCTCTATGAAGCTGTTCTCCAGTGGGATTCCTTACATTTAGTTTTGGTCAAATTTCTATAAAAATAAAAAATATACTCTTTCATAATCTAAACATTTAATATAAAGAGTAATCTGCCAACTAATTAATTATTATTAGAATCGTTACTGATTACCCTGCTCCAGAGTATTTCAGCATACTCTACATCAGGGGTCTCCAACCTGTGGCTCGGAAGCTGTCAGTAGCTTGCCACCCCCAAAGGATTCCAGAATTTAACACATGATCCTGAATGATTCTCTTTTGAGTCGTTAATATATGTAATTAACTATAAATCTTATCAATAATGCACTGGTATAATGGTATAATGCATGTGTTCTCCATGTTTGCTTGTAGTTATTAAATAGACTACCATTGTATTATGACTGCTAAAAAGAGGAGATCCCCGCTTTAATTAAAATGTAATGTTGAATAATCCTTTTGATCAGTGTCTCTGGATTCATTTGTGGTTCTGTTTAACGCCTTCCATATGTTTAAAGGCAATTAGAGGAGGACATTAGCACTGAGACGTCCCAGCAGAAGCGACCTGTCCGGGAGGCCTCCGTAAGCTCGCAGCCTCCTGAAACTTTCAAAGACATTTGTTTGGAAAAATCACCGATTGACTCATCGCAGAGCACACGAGAGAACAAAGCACAGGGTCAAAAGAGGAAAGAGATGGAGGATCTGGAAGAGCTGGAGTCCATAATGTCTGAAGATATGGACTGTTTTGACGAACCGCCCCCAAGAAGCCAAAGCCGGGTGAAAGAGGGCACTTCAAAACCACAGAGAGAAGATCGTAAAGTGGAGGTTTCCAGTAAGAAGCAGAGATTTGAGGAGAAAAAGGATGAGGGAAGGCAGAAGAATCAGGCAGATCTGGAAAAACCATCGACCTCGAGCAGAAATGTGCAAACAGTCAGAATTAAAGAGCAAAATGTGTCTGTGAACATTGATGCATATTCAAACCAGACATCTGTCATGAGACCGGCCAGCGATCCTCCAGCTGTTAAGAAGCAAAACAAGCTACCTTTCAACAACGGTGGAAGTGATTTTATTGACGTAAGTACAACCAGTTTTGATTGTTTAACTGTAATTCAATCATGTATTTATATTGAGTATGGTTAAATGTTTAGGATAATGAACTTCTCAAAGCAGAAGCCACTGAGGTTCCTGTGAAACCAGTGACTGTCAAAAAGGAGCTCAAAGTAAGACTTGTCACATTAAGAGCGTAACAATATTAGTAAAAATGAATGAAATTACATAATCCATCTCATGTAATTCTTTTGGACTATTTACTTTGTAGGAACCAAAGCTGGACGACAGTTTGCCCAAGAACTTGTTGGTGGTGGAGTTTAGAGATCTGAAAGTGGCAGAGCCTCCAATAACAGTGGCGAAACCCAAACAGACCAATGGATATTCAAAGAACTTTAAATGTTTCCGTAAGGTGAGTCAATGGAGACTTGACAATATGAAGTTTTATACATACATAAAAAGATATGTACATTATTTATGTTTTTTTCTGGTTTTGTGTACGTTTTATGGACCGTCCCAATTCTCACCCTTGCCCTTAAAAACACCCTTGCCCTAGTTTTTGCGCGTGCCCACAGGGGTTGTAGGGTGTGCCAATACTTAGGGAGAAGAGGCGACGGCCCTCACACCGTTAAAAACCACCCTTGCACGCAAGTGAGCTCCCATGATGCATTACGATAGTTGGTAGATAGATAGATAGATAAATAGATAGATAAATACTTTATTGATCCCCCATAGGAAAAATTCAGGTGTCCAGCAGCAGAAGACTCTTTTCTTGTTGTTGTAGTACAGTTAGTCAGGTTTGACAGTCAGTCAGGTTTGTTATACAGTCTGACAGCCGAAGGAACAAAGGATCTTTTGAAACGTTCCGTTCGGCAGCGTAGCGATAGGAGACTGTTGCACAATTACTCCTCTGAGCGGCCATCAGTCATGCCATCAGTGTCATGCAGAGGGTGTCTGGAGTTACCCAGGATGCCCTGCATTAGAGCCCTCATCCTTCTCTCCAGTACAGCTCTCACAGAGTCCACACTTCTCCCCATCACAGAGACACACTTCTTGATCAGCCTGTCAATCCGGTTACTGTCTCTCGAGGTCAGACTGCCACCCAAACACGCAACCCCGAAGAACACAGCACTAGCTACCACAGACTGGTAAAAGATGTGCAACATTTGACTGCTCACATCAAAGGACCTCAGTCTACTCAGAAAGAAAAGTCTGCTCTGACCTTTTTTGTAGATGGCATTGGCCTGAGCTGACCAGTCCAGTCTGTGGTCCAGGTGGACTCCCAGATATTTATAGGATTGAACCACTTCAATGTCCTGTGGTTCAATCCTAAAATAGCTGTCGGGCAAAGCCGTGCCACAATGAAAGAAAACAACATGAAACACCCGGGCGCAAGTTTATGCTGAACGTGAAGAAGCTTCGAAGTAATTCAGAGGGGATTTTTTTACAGTGTGAGTTGGTGCTGTACGTAACGTTCGCTCGCGGAACGGCCGCAGCTTGTGGCGTTCACTGAGGCTTCAGAGACGTGGATCCATGTTGTTATTATAGATCCATGATGTAGTTCAGAGACTGCATCGCTTTGACAGGAGCTTTGTGATCCGCGGCTGCGTCTCTGTGTGCATACGCGTGACTGTGTGCGTACGTGTGTCTCTGCCTCTGTGTGCCATGTATGTATGTGTGTGTCTACCTGTATTTCTGTGTGTGTGTGTGTGTGTGTGTGTGTGTGTGTGTGTGTGTGTGTGTGTGTGTGTGTGTGTGTGTGTGTAAGTCTGTCTCTCTGTGTGCGCGTGTACACAGACACACGTGTGTGTCTGTGCATACGGGTGTGCGTGATATGGCGCAGTCCTGTACCTACACTCTTCTGTTGAGGGCCCTCACAACACGAGTGCCCTGAGAATTGGGATGGGCCCTTACTCTCTCAATGGAATTACCCTTAAACATGGTTTTTTTCATTGCAATGTCTTTTATCTAAGACAATAGATTCAAATCAAGCTGTTTTACATTTTGTATTGTCATTTTTGTTGTGTATGAGAAAATCAATGAGTATGTCGTCTTGCAGGTGCAGATGCGCTGTGTGGCCCCTGTGATCAGTGGGACAGATCTGCTGGTTCATAACAGAGGCATAAACTCTGATCTGGACGAGTGGCTCAAAGACGCTGCAGAAGTAAAACCACTTTATTGTTCTTGGAAACATCACATGTTTAGTATGAATTTGAATCAAATACTACGTTGAGACAATGGGGTAAAAAATGTGCTATTAAAAAACATTGTTTGTACCCATACACATGGGACGGGATCATGGACTGGAGAAGGGGTGGACAGAGTCAGATGCACTTGCCCAGATGAAGCATGCAGTAATTTGGCTAATTTTTTAGTCGGACTCCATATTTGGAGTCCATAATACAATTGTCTTGTAGCTTGTCAAAATTGGGTGTCGGGCCTTTCCACTCTGGCGTTGAGCAGCAATACACCTGTGCTTCCGAACCCAATGCCTACTTGTCGTGTTTAACCTGTAGGAGATATTAGAGACCAAAATATTGAAAACCACCGTTCTAAGCAAAAGGAATTGATACATCTTACTCAGACATTTCAACATTATAAAGCTGGAAGTATGAGAGGAGACTAGTGTTGTAGATTATTATATTTGTGTCATAAATGTGTGAATCTCTCATCTGTATCATAAAATCCTACTCTCTATGCTCTTGATATTACATCTGTTTAATTTGTCATTGTTGATAATAGGAGGAAATTCAGAGCCGACGCGACGAGACCATGGGAGACGACCTTTTCAGGTGAGAAATATTCTTCTGACGACATCAGCTTACAAAACAGTTCTGGAAAAGTATTTTTATCGTCGACAATCAAAGCACAGACAATATTAATGCCAGGTGGCTCAGTTCAACCAATCAAAACTCTGCGGCACCATCGTCACCGGGGTTGCCGCAGTAACAGGCAGTGATGTAAGCCGCTGCTGTTTTCTTTGACTAAGCAGAAAGGAGACGGTGTGATATTGATTTTGTGTGTGTCGAAGCGCGCTGTTTGATCACTGACTCATGCCCACTCAGTCATGCGTATCCAGGGAACAGACTCTGCCGCTAAGAAAACAATACTTTTTCATTCTGATGTGAGTTAAAAGAGAAACCTGTTTGCTTTTAGATCATTAGAACATTGTCTCCTGTTTATAGCCCTTAATTTGGGCATTCTTAATGTTTCCAAAAAGCATCTAATGACATCACACTTCATCCTGGTTTGTCCTGGTTTGATCCCAGTTCTGCTCTTTATACTTTGAAGGCCCAGACAATGCAAGGAGATAATTTGTTGATTTTGTAACATTGCAATTTTTGAGCTTCAAAGAGTTTTGTGATAGATAATTTCTGTTATATTTATATCAAGAAACAAAATACTGCTGCTACAATAAAGCAGAGAGACCGGAGAAGGAATAACTGAAGTAAAGCTAATCTGCCCTTGTCCGTTGCCTTTATTCCAGTTATAGCTGTATAAAAAGAACTAGAATGATTTTTGTTTAGATCGATGTTTTCAAGTAGTCTGCGTCTCCTGAATATGCCAAGCTTGACCTGTGCTTTTGTTTCTCTTATAGATATAACCCCAGCAAACTTACCAGAAGAAGATGAGATGTCCCCATGTGGTACATAAATCTGGGACATTTCAAAACTAATAACATGTTCTACTGTTCTGTCTTGTTTCTTTACATAATCATCATACATTATTATTAAACAAATTAAGAAAATTTAAATAAAAAAACTATAGAGAATGCACATTTTTCCCCCAAAGTTTTATTCCTCATTAATAAAAACGGTACATACAAAACATGAAAAGTCTTTAGTTTACCAAGAGAGCTCAGCGCATTCTAAGCATTCTTCAAACTGAAGTAAGTCCAGTCTGCTCAGCTCGATGAAGAATTTCAAGTGTTTAAATGAACTTGCAGAAGCTCATTCTCCATCAGGCACTTCTGATCAGACGTTATGTCTCACTGTTAAATCTGACTCAAAGTGATGAGGCCTTAAGCACTTTTAGCTTATTGCTTTATCAAACTAAATAAGGAATACAATTAATATTACCGAAAATTACATTTACAGTCAAGGATTGTCCAGTTTTCCATCATCTACCTGGGGTCTCATTTATTTAGCGTGAAGCGACTTTTTCCGTAGTGTCTGCATGCTGGAAAGCCATAAGCACATAGTATGCAGATTTAAACATGCACACTCGGTGTAGCCAATAACACATGCAGACCTGTGGAGGAAAGGGAGGTTCACAGCTGTGTGCCATAGAAACTTCATAAATGAGGCCCCTGGTTTAGTGAACTAACAAGCAGCTGTATTCATAAGCAAACACGTCAAACAACATTTGTAGACACTTTAAACTTAATAACTTTGAGCTACTCAAATGCACACATGTATGCCTAGCTAACCATGTTAGTTTAAAGCTTAATACTCACTAAAATGACCATCCATAATGAAAGCTGCTAAAACAGAGTTTGCAATAACTGGAGCACTTTTAACTCCAATGATCATTTGTGTCCTTGTGTCCACTCATTTACAATATGTGAACTTCTTCTCAAGACTTTGTAATAAAAATACAATTGTAAAATAGACCATTATTTAGAGCTTTTTTGTATTTGTACAGCTACATAGCATAGAACTGACACCTTGAGTCAAGAAAGGGCAGAGACGGGATTCCTCTGCAGCTGACTGAGGTCACCTGTAATGCATCTTTTGAGCATCACAATTGTAACAGTATATCATGAGAATAAGTTAAAATATGATGATCTTGTATAAAGCAACATCAGGCACACTTCCATCCGTTATCTAACATTGGCCAAAACCATATGATGGTTTATGCAGATGGACTCTGGTAGAAAAATAACCCTGAAATAAGGTACAATGGTAATGAGTTCACAGACTTAATGTTGGCACATTGTAGGATGAACTTCTAAAACCTTATGGATGACAAATAAAGCGTGTTTAAAACCATTTGTGATATGTTTGCCCTACATCTGATAGAGACTCACTGACATTGGTTTCAGATAATATTATTGCCACCGTTATTGATGAGCTCTTTTTTCTTGTATCTCTTTATCAGACAAGACGCAATCCCCAAAGCCCCGCCTTTTATGAAGCGCACAAAGTTGTCCCCGACAAGTGGACCCATCGCGAACAGGCCAGGTTCCTTGGTGCACTCGAATGTGTATGGCTCTATGTCAATAGGATTCTGTTTGCATGAAACAGGTTTGGTCGGGTCAAGGGCAAGGCATTGGCCTTGACCTTTCAGAAAAAATAAGTTTGGATTGGTCCCGATCAGGACCAGAACCATTGAGACCTTGAATGCTTTCAAGGAGTTGTTTCCCTGAAGTAAGCACTTCATGTCAGGCTGGAAAGAAACCACACAGTGCTCTGGGAAACTGGTGTAGTCTGGAAAGAAGCTGAGGTTCTCTGCGAGTTTGTCTGAGGGCAGCTGGGGCTTTGGACACATCTTGGCACAGACTGATGAGGCAATGCTTGTGGCCTGAGGCCTGTTGGTGGAAGAGGCTGCACTGGTGTGGGTCTGTGAACACATCATGTGGTAGACTTTGTGGTATTCAGGATACAGAGTTTTGGGCAGCTGCTTGAAGATGAGGTCTGGGTCACTGCTGCTTTTGCGGAACACATGCAGCACTTTGACGTTGCTGTTACAAGCGCAAAGAACTGCATCCGCAGCACTTAAACCGGCGCCCACTATTAAAACAGGGTCAGAGTTCATGTCCAGCTTCTTGCGGCTCACTGCTTGCCCCAGGTCTGAAATGCTGTGGAAAACAAATGGAAGGTCCTCCCCTTCTACGCCCAGTCGCACTGGAGAGTCTGACGCTCCTGTGGCCAGCACCACGTTTTCAGCAAACAGGGAGAAGGGCACATGAGTGTGGCTCTGCAGCTGCTGGTACCCCCTGACCTCCCATAGAGCCCCCCCATTCACACTCTCACTGCTCCCACTGTCTGCTGGACCAGAGCGCTCCTTTGCCAGATCCTCCTCACTGTGTCCACGGCAGAGCTTTTGGACAGATGTGATGTACGTATTGTCAACAAAGTTATTTTGGAGACCTTTGAGCTTCACATAGTTGCAGTAGTAAGACGAAATCTCCTCAGGAGTTGCTCTGTCATTGGTGGCATCCCTAAAGTCAAAATAGAATCGGTCTATATGGACAGAGCATTTGTAAATATTAAATGTCTTGAGGGTTCTCCTACCTGCGCTTCCCATTGGTCAAGTCTCTGTAGTTTACACCTGGAAGCTCCATCCAGATCCCCAGACTGATTGTCAACATGGATCCTTCCATGGCCTAAAAGGGACAGGAGCATGTTATAGAACCCGAGTTTCACCCTTTACATGCAGCGTCTTACATGCCAGGCTCCTCCAGGCGTGGACCGGCCCAGGACCAAATGGGGAATGTGCTGTGTCTTATCTCTCCTCCACTGAAGCACTGAAGGAAGCTCATAGCCAAAGTCTGCGTTTGGATGCAAAATGGTGTCAAAGAGCACCGCCACCGGATTTCTGGATCTACCCTCAAGGCCTTCGCTCAAATATTCAAGGTCCTGCAAAGACATTGGATGAGAAAGCTGTCTCATTTATGAGTTCCCAGGTCGTCATACCTGTTCAGTGATGGGTATGTGCTTATTCTTCTGCAGTTTCCGGTACAGTATCGGGTTGGGGTGCACAGTTTTTCTATCAAAATAAGGCTTGTATCCACTCAAGAGGTAGGACAGGCAAATACCTGACGGCCCATTCCCTGGAGAGAAACAAGAAACATTCACTTTTATTCATAAGGTGTATTAGTGCAATAGTGAGAGTATAGTGAGAGGAGGTTTTACCGATGATAACCACGGGAATTGTCGGTGGGCGTTCATTTGGCAGAGTGGTCTCCTCTAGTAAAGGCATGGCAGCAGCCTGAGCCTGAGCCTGATGGAAAGGACAAGCTTAAATTAAACACATGTATTCTGTTTGTGGCTCCATCCCTCATACAGTCTTCATAGTTCAGTGACCCTCAAACTGTGGTTGAATTAATCCAAAACGAAAAGGCTTACACATGAATTCTTTTCTTTACATCCAGCCTTAGCAGCTACAGTAATGCTCAGGGAAAAAACACCTTTTTTCTATCTGATCATTGTGTTCCCACAGTGGACCCTCCCCGTCTGTCTGGAGCTCTACACACGTGGAAGCATCCCGTCACAACACGGTGTGCCCCCAATCCAGCGCCCATACAGCCCTGTCCCGTCAAACATGACCCGCGGCGGGACGGGCCTATGTTAACCCCTACTGCCGCTTCCAAAACAAAGGGCAGTTCTAATCAGATTTATGTAGGCCTGGCCGTGTTGTGAAACGTTGCCGTGAAGCATGTGTAGTGGAGTTATTGTGCACCCGCCGGGCAGCAAATCCCCCGTGATCATTCCTTAGTGGGGCTTAATCCCACTGGTCCTGTTTATGTCTTTGCCGCCTCTTTCAAAAGCAGCAGGATGGAAATGTGCTCCTGGCATGCGGACAGTCACAAACGGCTGAACAACACAAAACGACAAACCAAAACAATGCCAGTACTATGTTCTGTTCTATGTTGTGTTTACTTCAACGTTTAACTGAAAAAAAATCAATGTAGTATAGTGATGTATGGAGTGTTACCCAACAGTCTTGGCTCAATCACTCTACAGTTTACTTTATGCAACTATACAAATATCCATCTCGTATTACATTATCCTTTTTCCTTGGCCTAATCCCTGTGAACATTAGTTAATCTGTTACACGTTTTTTTTAATTAATTTTTTTATTGTCTGGTCTGCTACTGGCTCTAACAATAGTGTATTATCCTTCCAGACGAGTGTCGTTGTTGGGATTTTCTCCTGTACAAAACAAAATGATTTGATTTGACAATATCACAAAATGTATGTGTTTTCTGGGAAGAATGTAAGACTTTTCCCTCCCTTTTGTATAGTACTAACATGTTCATCACTTGGCCAGTTGTCAGTGTCATTCACACGATCACATCCAGATACAGTGACAGTGTTAAGGCTTAAAGAGTACATTTTTGAATCTGTTTTTGAGGACCCCCTCGGAAACGAGATGTTTCATCTCAAGGGGTTATTCCTCTTAATAAATGTTAAATAAATAAATAAAAGATTGATTCCATGCATTGCTGCAGCAGTATGTTGTGGCCATTGCATTTTTAAAGCACAGACGAATTTCAAACATGCTTCAAAAATGAACAATAGCATCTATCCTCAAAACAATCAGAGCTCCAAGGTTCACTTTCTGGACCTGGATTGACTTTTTTGTGCTTTATTTCTGACTGTACATTCCACTGTTTCTTTGAATACAACCTCTATATCTCACATAATACACGCATTCCTAAACTGCATGTGACTATTGCATCATTATAGACTTTTACCAAGCTGCCTGATGCAATCTCTGGCTATTCATGTTCACTATGTTTCTCCAATTGTCTGCCCCACTTGCGCTTGTCACAGCATCTCCAGAGCTGAGTTTTAGCAGACACATTGTGATATTAATAGTCAATTGCATCCCACTGACTGGTCCTTCGTTATGCATAAGACTGGTGTGGGACATTTTATGCTATCTTGTTCAGCACTTTGAGTTGCCTTGTGTATGAATTGTGCTATACAAATAAACTTGCCTTGCCTTGCCTTGCCTTATTATATGCCCTTGAATTTTCATTACAAAACCACTTTTAGGTTGTTATGTATGTTATGTAGATAGATACACTAGATACTGTAGATAGATACACTAAATCAGACATAGTGAGTGGAATGGGACGACACATAGACATCCTCGTGGACCACACGTACTAATGAATACAAGAGTGCATCCATACATGGTACAGGCAGAGGCAGCATACATCATCATCATCATCATCATCATCATGTGATTGAGATCAGTCCTGTTTTTTTAGGCTTTTTTTTTTTACTGTAATGGACTAGAATGAGACATCTTACCGCACTGTGACTTGCTCTCTTTGCTCCAGTAGTGTCCAGTTATCACGACCCGCGGTGGCCGTGCTGGTGGACGTATAAATAGGAACTCAGACAGGGGGGAGGACCGCGCCCTCACCATCACACTTTACACGTCACATATAAAGGGAATAACGCACCAGCACGTCCCGATGTTTCAGTCGCTGTGGCTCCCGTGAATCACCGTCACGGAGCTGCTTATTTGAGGGGGAAATGCTCCAAAGTGGCACCGGCTCTTCGGGCTTTGTGGTCACGTGGGCGCAGTAGCCTCAGCATCATCACCGCATCCACCGCGCAGCATCCTGTAACCAAGCAGCTTTCACACCATCACATAATGTATCACCTTGAAGCGGACTATCTACCACGCATGCTGAATTAGATAATAGGAATAAGATGACATTGGAATTCTTTGCACTGGGAAACGATTTAGTTTATTCCTGCCATGAACTAAAAATAACCAGAAACCTAATATAAACAGCGTTTTTTTATCTTCTGGGATAATTAAGTTGCATCAACAAACATACAAATGATAAAACATATGTTTTATCATTTGTATATTTTAAATGTACTTTTTTTTAAATTCCACAACATATCTTGGTGAATTTATTTCCATTGTATCCGCCATTTTTCTCTAATTGAGATGCAATATTAAAATCATGATTTTATTATACATGATCATGTATAAGTCAATGTTATAGGCTGCAGTTAGGACTGGGAGTAGAAACAGCGGATATGTCTGGGACTGAAGGTCATTATAATTCATGTCTGTTTTAGTTACCAAATGATAATTTTGATTTTTGCACAAACATTTTCAAAATTGCGTCACCTGACGAGTGCGAAATAAAAATCCCTGTAATTATTTCCAGTTTGCACGTATTTTTTCAGCTGTCAACCCAAAAGGGTTGAAATATAGTATGTTCCCAAAACTGATGTTCCCCTTGTTTTTATTTAGAAATAATTGTATCATTTTTCAAACAAATATTCTCTTTCATGTTGTTTGAAATTTTGATATATTTGTTTGATATATCAAATTTATAAAAAGGACGAGACAAGAACCCGCCTCTTTCATTCAGCAGACCAATCAGAACGGCTCTCCTGAATACACTTCCTGATGTCCTCAAAACACGTGAGCTAGCAGCCACTAGCTTGATTATAAACCCACATATCTGAGAACAACACTTTAACGATGGTTCAATTGACCAGAGTCTGTCTCCGGAAGGCAAGTTAACGATCATTGATTCATGTGCAGTACACATATTTATTGAAATAAATGAATTTGGTTAGATATGTTCATACTCATGTGCAAACGGGGTATGACAGCATTGATACCATAGACTATATATTAATATATTATATATACATTGACACTCGTGATGTCTGTTTACAGTATGGGAAGTTTCTGGACAATCTGCGACTGTATGTGCGCGGAGGCAGCGGTGGGATGGGTCTGCCCCGTCTGGGAGGTCAGGGGGGAGATGGTGGAGATGTTGTTGTCGTTGCCACAAAAGACATGACCTTAAAAAGAATCAAAGACAAATACCCAGAGAAACGCTTCGTGGCTAGAGCAGGGGAAAACAGCAGGTGAGTTTGTCTGTTCAGTAAAATGTTGTCTTTTCATGGTTCCTAAATATGTAGTTGAGTTGGAAATGCATGTTGGCTCCAATATAGTTATTTGAGAGTGCACCTCTACTTGTTACAAAGACAGGCCATCGGTCACTGACACTATGATATATATGGATATGCTCACATTGCTCTTTAAAATACATTAACATTTAATCCATGTTATCAGTAGCAGTTGCAAGTCAAGTAACACAAATATTTTCCATTCATTACATTTTGCTAAATATTTGTAATAATGTAAGTTTGGTTGTCTGTTATTCAGATTAATGTATTGTACTATTGTGCCATAAGGAGTAGTAATGTTGTTAAGTTTGTCCACCATTTGTCTGAGAAGGGCCACACGGCTGAAACATTGCTTTTAAAGTTGGCTGGCTAAGGATTGGAGTTGTGCAGAATTCTTCTTCTACTGGTTTATCACATTTATTCTATGCATCTATTTATGAGTTCACCTTCTCTGTCTACTTTTGAGTTTGTCTAAAACTAATTTCACCTGAATTCTATGGACAGTGTCAAGGCTCTAAAAGGGGAGCGGGGGAAAGACTGCAGCATCATGGCCCCTATTGGCATCACTGTCACCACAGACGACGGCAAAGTTATAGGTACCTTTTTCTTTATTATTCTTTACTTAAGCTTGTTCTAAGTTTCATGCTTGATATTTTCCTTTTAAGGTCACTTGAATGCTCCTGGGGATAGAGTGAAGGTTGCGAAAGGAGCAAGGGGAGGCTCATATCACTCGTTATTTAATCCCAGTAAAGCAAAACACCACCACATAAGGCTGGATCTGAAACTTATAGCAGACATGGGTTTAGTGGGGTAAGCTAACAAGCGTTTCTCTGTCCAGTGTCGCACAATTCATTAAAATGAATCCTCTGTTTCCTTTCAGTTTTCCAAATGCAGGAAAATCCTCTCTTCTAACAGCGGTGTCTAATGCAACTCCTCAAATAGCCGGCTACGCATGTGAGTCCTGTCTCCTGTGATCCATACACCTGCAGTATCAAAACAAATGTTCACTATCCTTTTCTGTTTCAGTTACTACTTTAAAACCAGAAATTGGAAAGTTGATGTACAAAGATCATAAGCAGGTAGAGAACACTGTGTGATATATTCTGCTAACTTTTTACCACCGGTACATTCTTTGTCATTGTTAGATTTCCGTGGCGGATCTCCCAGGGCTCATTGAAGGCGCTCACCTGAACAAAGGCATGGGACACAAGTTTCTTAAACATGTGGAGAGGACCAAACAGCTGCTGTTCGTGGTGTGTTTACTTTTGGCTGTGGTGTTGTATACTGACAGCAATACCTAATGTTGGTTATTATTATTATGTGTGTATTACAAGGTTATATCAGAGTTCACCTTTAGAGGCGTGTTTTTTGTACCATACAGTCCATGGTTGTACCGCAAAGGAGGTCCGTAAAAGATGCAGACTAAACTGGAGTTCTTTCTTTAAGGCTACGCTTCAACAGGTTGATTCTGTATAATTAATTAAGTTTGAAGTAAAAAAAAAATGGAAGTCTTAAGTCTCAATTAAGTTCTCTTGAGTTTGTAATTTTTAACTATAAAGGGTTTTGTTTTGAAGGGAAAAACATTTTTATAGAAAATAGCTTTAGAGTAAAAATGACAGTTTCCTAATCGTAGGCATTCATTGTAATTTCCCAAACTGTTCCTGTAGGTGGACGTGGGTGGGTTCCAGCTGGCAACTAAAACTCCATTTAGATCTGCATTTGAAGCTGTACAACTCCTGACAAAGGTTAGAACCAAACAATCATTTCTATTTTACTTGGGGCAATGGGACACCAAAACTCCCAATAATAAAGAGAAATACACAGTTTGAAAGACGACCAGAATCTAAAGGTACTTAACTTTGAGTCTTTAAATCTGATCACTGTCCACAAGGAGCTGGAGCTGTACAAGGAGGAGCTGCTGTCCAAGCCCGCTTTACTTGTGGTGAACAAAATGGATCTCCCTGATGCTGAAGAAAAACTGGCAGCACTTAAAACTCAACTGCAAAACCCCGAAGGTAAATGCACTCTTTATGTGGGATTGATATGTGACGAGAGAAGCAACATTTTAACCATGTTACAAAAACATACATGACATTGTGTTAGGACTAGGGCTTTCAAAATTATCACGTTAACACGTTAATTTATTTCTTTAATCACGTAAAAAAATGAACGCATTAATGCATGTGCCGTAATGACCTGCCCTTGCATCCCATGAAAACACTCAGAAGTGACGCGGACACGAGCGTGTGAGATGGTGACAGAGCAGGTAGGCATTAGTTAGCATTAGCACAACTTCTTATAAGCTGGACCGCAATCACTGATGAAATGGTACCAAAGCAACGCACTGCTAACTAAATATACAGTACAATAACTTAAGATTAACGCTAGTTTCTCGTCCAAAGGTTTTAATACTTTGAATACAAGTTAGAAAAAATACTGTCTTCTACAGAAAGACAGAATGTTAATAATGTTAATGCCGTTTTATGTGGATTTATTGTTAGAATAAACAAATACAGTACATATGTACACTATGTTGTCATTTATCTTTCCATTTAAACAACCATTTACAGAAAAATATGGCAACATTTTGCCGATAGTTTGTAATGCAATTAAATATATTGAATTAATTTTTAAGCTGTAATTGACTCAATTCAAAATTTGAATAATTTGACAGCCCTAGTTAGGACGGTTTTGCACAAATTGCCTCAAACACATCTTGATAATACATAAAAAAAAACGATTGCCTCCGAACATGTTTTGGGGATTTCTCCAGCGATTTTACATTATTTCATACCGCGTGTCTTCAAATGCAATCCGCAATGTTTGGTGACATTTGCAGAGTGTAATCCCCACTTCCACCACCAAATGGAGGAGTTTCATTCATGAGAGATTCTGTCCTTATCCAAATACATTCTGAAACATGAAGTGCAAAAGTAAATAGTCCCAAGATGTCACAATAATCTTCCTTTATTGACAGAGTTCTGCAGCCTGTTGGATGAGGACATGATCCCAAAGGAGTACATCGCCTTCAAACACATACTTCCGGTCTCGGCCCTCACTGGATTTGGGATCGAGAATCTTAAGAACTGCATTCGACAGTCGCTCCATGACGAGGTGGAGATGAAAACTCAAGTTGTGGTTGAAGAAAAACTGCAAGCACTAAGGCAGCACTTGTAACAATCATGCAGACTGTTGAGACTTATGCACAGGACACGAGAAGGATGGAACTGAACTGGACTGCCTACAAACATGTTAGAACCTTTTTTTTACCATGTTTAATCAAAAATATCATTGTGTGTCCTTTGCACATTTGCATATATTACTGGTTCAAAGATGTCACTGCTGGTACCAATAAATGTATAGTATAGTAGAATGTTAGATCCCCTTTTCTTTCGTTTCTGCACCAAAACCAGGTCTAAAATAAAGACTTTTCAATACAGGGTTTTTCTATAGTGATGTGGGTCAAGCTCCACAGAGGACTATTACGTATGATATTCTACATATTATTTCAATATGTATGATTCACATGTGTACAACTATTGTAAATGTAAAAGTTGACATTCATATTCCAATTATTTTAGTTTTTATTTCTCAATGTCTTTGGAGTGAAGTTATTTTTGGTGTGTCCTTATGTTTTAAAACGTAACCATAACATCCTATGTAACTTTGGGCATTTACTTTTTCCATATTTTGGTATTAAACTAATCTATTTATCGATTATTGAAGTGTTTTTAAGGAGCAGATCACAGAAATATAGATAGGATTTATATTCCACCAGGTCAAGTCTCATCCGCTTGTCTTTGGTGATAATGTTTAACACCACAATGGTAAACTTCTGGCAAAAGAAGAAACACCCAATTTCACAAGACTCGTGTAGAAAGAACCCTTGTACTTGTGTGTGATTTTAGTTTCGTGCTTGGTGCTTCCATTATACAACATTTATATTAAAAAAGTATGCACAGTTCTCCATAAAAGAGTATTTTTTATTAAATATATTACAATACTGATTAAGAGAAAAAAAATAAGGGCATTGATTTTTGCATTGTCAGTTTACAGCATACAGGTAAAACAAATACAAAGGGACGTAACAGCAGTGTGGATTTTAGTGATCAGTACATTTGGTCAGAGGAGCGCGTGGCTGAAGTGGTTACATGGTACATTCAGAGCTCTGTGAGATAAAGTCCGGACAATACATCCACAACCTCTGTTCCATCTCCTCTGCCTCCTCACGCCCCCTTCAGGTCAGAAACAACGCTAAATTATCACATTTTTAGTCACTAAGATGATGCATATTTTTTTAACCAAAGTGGAATTTTTGTTTTCATTATTTTACTGGGTTTGAGATGCAACAGAAGGGATGTTACCTAGTAACCATGTACTAAACTTGGTTGATCCCTCTCTATGTTTCACTATTTGTACTTTCGTTTATGAATACTGCTAAATTTAGGACGAAATGTGAATGCCCTCAGTGAGATGTCATTTGTTCTAGAACTCTATTATTGTAAAGGCCTAAATCACAACAGAAGTATCTCAGAGAACTTCACAAAACCCGTTGAAATCGACACAGATCAGAGAATCAAACCGTTCAACACAACTCTGCTTTACTTCCAACCTTTTCCCACTTGTCTTCAGACGGTGGATTTATTGGTATATTTAAAAGACGTCTCATTCTCTCTGGAAATGTTTAAATTATAACTAAAAACTTAATTGACAGATTACAGAAATGTACAATTGATATTACATTTTTTTTTTCTGCAAATATACTGAAACATATTGTATTTTAGAATTCAGTATATCTGCAATAACACTCAGCTGCCTAATTGTATATGGATTATTTGTATGGGCAGACAAAATATAATCTTAAAAACAATAAAATAAAAGATTCTGGAAATCAATTTTTTTTTTTGACTTTTCTTTGAAGAACACTTCCCAAAGTTTCTACAACTTGTGTTGAGATCATGTTACGGAGGAATATTAATAATAATTTGGATCAAAGCATTTTTTTATGCTTTGCAAAATGTGCGCCTTCCCAATCCTTCCGACCCAGTAGAAGACAGTTACAAGAGGTTTAACATGATTTGGAAAACAGCCACCGTTTCTGCTCCTGGGACAAATGTAGCAAACACAGTTCTTCTCAAATCTTATCAACACACATTTACAATATAATGCACTTATTCACGGTTCGAATGCTGACAAATAAATCATACAAAGATAGTTAATTCAAATGCACTGTAACTGGTTTAACACTGAAAGGCAGATCACATATGTCCCTAATTATCACATGAACAGAATGGAGAACAATTAACTGTGATGTTTTTACAAGAATGGTGCTTCTATAAATACAAAAGGAAGTTACAGACGTGTTGAAAGGGACTTTTTAGTGACATGCCACAGTCTTATCACTCCTAAAAAAAAAAAAATATATCGGCGAAATGATTGGAAAAAGGGGCGCGGTCATGCTGTTGGTCATCTCAAAAGCTCAAACAGCAAGCACTATACAGCTGACGTAATCATTTACAAGGCTAAATATCAACGCAGCTAAACCCAAAATGCATTTTTCAATCACGGTGTTCATACATTCTCTGATTTCCACCAATCGCATTAGTCTAATTATTAAATGCAGTTGCAAGAAAAAGTGTTTGGACCCTTGGGAATTACAGGACTTGGAATTACAGGACTTACTGGACAATGAACCGCACCTTTATATAAACCGCACTCGGCAATTTTGAAAAGAAAGTGCATTTTGTCCACACAAATAGGCCGCACTTAACCAACGGCTGATGGAGCAAAACAAAACCCATATACGACTGTTGTAACGATGAGGTGTTTTATTGCATTAATGGTCAAAGCACTAAATACAGTCTATTTTAACAATACATGTGTGTCCCATTCCTACTAAAACTCACAAGTCAAAATAAGGAATCCATAAACTCTGTTCTGACATTAGTCCTGTGTATTTCCCTGCCCGTCCTTGTGTCGGCTCTTTCTGCTGTTCACATAAACACACGAGAAGCAGGAATGGAGATCTGCAGATAGAGCCGTGTCAAAAACACTTCTTATGCTCCGGCGGCACGCTAACAAAATTATACATACACTGGCCGCATCGCTATATAGTTTAGTAGTGGCATCCAGCAAGTGCTGTACCTTTATTTCTACATGTGTCATGTAATGTGATCCGATCCCCATTGAAATCACGACTGCTTCAACTAATACCTCACAAATATTTAAGTTTGGATATCAATGAAAAGGCAGTGTCTCTGTACTGACTCGCCATCTCCCTGTCCTTGCTGCTTTCCACGTTTTTTTTTAATGTACAATACACAATTATTCCAAACTTCAGGACTGTACATTTTACATATAGCCAAATTAATCTTGAGAGCTCTTACAAACTGTCCTTAACCATATTATTTCAGGTACCTAAAACTAACTAACCCCATAACCCAGATATGTCAAACTCATTTTTAGTGCCCCTGATTTTCAATTATTATAATTAACTTTCCATATTGATGGTAATGGGCTACTATGGCATGTTATACCTAATTTTAAAGCTAATTTTCACAGGTAAACAACTATAGCACTTTAAGCCAATACATAATTAAAAGTGAAACAGTTGAAAATAGAAAAATGAATATTGCTGATATATATTCGTTTATATATTATATTAGTTTTGGTTCACTCCAAACAGTAAACTAATTTTGTTCAGAATAATCTACCATCAAAAAATTTCCACACATTTCACATAAAAGTGATTTGTCAATATGCTGTCATAATGAAAATAATTATAGCAAAAAAATAAAATAAAATAAAAACAACACCAAAATTAGTTTGACACCCCTGCTACGTTTGTTCATGTTGCCATGTTTTTATTGGCTAAAACCTGTCACTCAGGTCTAAGATGCAGTGGATTGGCCTAACCGACAATCAAACTCATTTTCCATTTTGCAGTAAAACCAAATTTTTGCAAACCTATTCCACATTTGCAAAAGTCCCCAGTTTGCACCAGACAAGTACGTAAATCATTTAACCAACAAATGATATAATAATGAAATGAATATGAATAAAAATTCATAATAATGTTTAATCAACTTTTTGGACTGATGATTCTTCAACATCAACAATTCTTATGTCTGTCTCCTCCTTTGGACTCCATTGGCTGATTCCTGACCTCAATGAACTTTTACTTCTTCCCAGAATATTTTTTGACAATTTACCTACAGTAATAATCTACATGTATATATTTGTTCTCTACATTTCCATAGAGACCAAATTTATAAAAGTAAGTAATGGATTTAAGTCATTCCAAAGGGTTTACACACTTTTTCTCATCACTGCATCTGCCAATTCCAATGACCAACTTCTTCAACAAATGAAAAACAGCACATTGGTCACAAAACAACATAAACATTTATCTTAATACTAGGAATAAACCAGTTCAAATGAGTTTCTAACTACAACAAACACGGCTCAGTCTAAGAATGGCACGATAAACTGTACATAAAACCCATGATTACATTTCCCAAATCTGTCCTTCATAAAGTGCTGTGGAACCTGCTTTACTCCAATACTTTCTAAGGAAAAACTAGTGCTCAGACCAAAACAAAAAAAATCAAAATCACACTGTGGTGGTGTTAAAGACGAGGAAATGCAAAAAAGTTGGACATTTTTAACACTTACGGTAATGGGGGAATACACACAAAACCATGGGGCGAGGGATGCTAGTGTCGCCTATTCCACACAGCTCCTCTTCCCCCGTAGGAGAATCAGGATAGGTGCATCTGTACATATTTACAAATGTCTACAATGGGGGGTAAGAATGCAATTTGCTGATAAAATACGGGTTACTTGTCGTGTGGGGGAAAGCGTCAACCCACCATGCGCTCATGTGAAGTCGGCTGTCCTTCACCACTTCAAATTCTTGGGGCTTTCTCATGCATACAAGTGTAGGCGTGTCTATAGAGGATTTACGTGCGACAAAATGGCCGAACAGTATTGAGACATGTTCCGCTCCTGTGAAAAGTTAACTGTACGTCCCCCCCCAACCCCGGAAAAGGCAAGAAAACAAAGATGTTACTTGGTTAGAGCGAATGAGAACCACACATACTCAAAAGTTCAAAGTGGATTATGGTCTCAAAAGCTCAATCTTCCATCTGGAGTTTTTCAATGCAAACTCGTCCGCTGAGTTAAATGACCAGTGCGAAGGTCGGTGTTGCTGCGTTGTCACTCACATACTGTACGTCTGTGTTATGCTCATACTGTACTCTCTCCTCCGGCAAAGAGAGTCATTTCAGCAACTTGTTTTATTTGTAGTAGAAAAAAACAGACCTTCCTTCAGGATTGTAGACCAGGGTGCGGTTATATTGATGTTTCCCAAAGCTGAAAGGAGGGAAATGAATTAAAACACAACAATATATGTCTAAAACAGTTAATTAAAGCAGTGTGAAATGTATCGGCTCTTACAATACAGTAGATGTGCTTGCTTTACTCCATTTGAGCTCTCTATGTAATTTTCTATACATCTGTAAATGTCCTTTTATTTTGGTTTAGGAAGCTCATATACAGTGCCTTGCGAAAGCATTCGGCCCCCTTGAACCTTTCAACATTTCGCCACATTTCAGGCTTCAAACATAAAGATTTAAAATTTTAATTTTTTGTCAAGAATCAACAACAAGTGGGACACAATCATGAAGTGGAACTATTGGATAATTTAAACTTTTTTAACAAATAAAAAACTGAAAAGGGGGGCGTGCAATATTATTCGGCCCCTTTACTTTCAGTGCAGCAAACTCACTCCAGAAGTTCAGTGAGGATCTTTCGCAAGGCACTGTAAACAGTAAGAACTGATGAAGATGGATGATTATGAACGGTAAGTTAATCAATGAAATAGATTATCTCAAGGTAAAGTTTGATATCTTCCATATTAGACGAGGACTTACCTTGGCACTCTGCCGGGCTTTTCTCTGGTCATCGGGCAGCGGGGGCATGGGGTACGGATACCTCCTACTCGAGCCCATGGACCCCGTAGAGGAGGTGGGGGACTTTGCAGGAGACAGCGTCCTGTGAATAAGATTAAAGTGAGATCACGCCTCGTCTCTGTGGGACCGGAGGGCACAGGGCTTAATTCAAGGAAGTGCTGTGAAAACAGATCAGCAGCTGCATCCTTGAACTGCTCCACCTTTGACACAAGGGGAGATCGCCCTGAGAAGCCGGGACGCTCTGAGTCAAATCCATAAAAACACATTTCTCTACCATCACACGCAGGTTCACTGTCAGCATCTCTCTCAAATGCACCATGATGTCCTGAGTGACTGGTGACAGTGAACCAACAGGAGCCCCAGGACTCAAGGGGCCAGGTCACATGGTCAAAATAATGGAGAGATTTACAGCGCTTCAACACTGAGTTTATGAGAGAAATATGGGTCAATTAGTCACACGGATCTCAGTCATAATTGTTTGATTAGCACAACCCAGTTTTAAGATGGCACAAGAAGCTGGTGCTGTCGGTGAAGCTGTGTTCACACGTGCTCCTGGTTTAGTCCTGGTGCAGTCTTGGATCTTGCAACATTATTCATGACCGTGTTGCAATACAATGTACAGTTTAAAGTTTAGGTTTTGATCATATAGTTACCTAAATTCCCAGCATTATTCTTCATAATTTGGAAAGAAGGGGACCAACTATAATGGTGCGAGCTGGACTCTCACTCACAGTTTGGACATCCCTGACCTACCTTCTTGAGTCTCTTGATGAAGCAGGGTATCTCAGGTTTGGTTAAGTCAAATTCAAGATCTTTTTAAGACTTGTTCAAAATAGCTGTTATTATCAGCAGCTGCTATATAGCTGGAGGAAGAGACAATCAAAAGCCACATCTCACTTCTGCTTCTATGCCTGTTTGTGATTCCTTAGGTGTAAATCCCGCCCAAGGAGAGAGTTTACCTTCTTTATAAACAAGATTGACAGCTGAGGAATTTGTGAGACGAGGAGGCAAGGAGGCAGGATTGGGATGCGACCGCAGTCTCCACTCAGAAATAAAGTGTGAATCGAACCCAAATGTAAATTAAACTCTCCACTATTTGACCGGGAGTTCTGATTTATAAGTTCTATCAGCAACTGGAAGGTCTATAGATGTCATTACTGAACAGGCGGTGATTTGTTAGTTCTTGTTAGTCAAGGTGAAAGTAACATTTGGATTAAGAAGCTAGAGATTTCCAACCATCTATAGACCTTAGGGAGATATTTCCATCTGTTGTGGCAGCATGTCAACAACAACATGCAACATCAAGCACAGAGGAGGCTGAACAAAGAGGCAGTCAGGGGAGAATTCAAAATAATGAAAGAATACTGAATAAATATCGATACTATGCTAAATATACAATGTGTACTAAAGGTTGTAACTTAGTCATAATTGATAAACACAAACAACAAAATATGAGGTCAAACAAAAAGTCTAAAATAGATTTTGCTTGTCCAGTCATAATACTTTAGCAACCCCTGCTGGACACAACATGCCAGATAATATTGTATAATAATTTGAACTTGTCCTGCAAAAAAAATAATCAAAGGGTTCTGAAGAAAAGCGCAAGGGCACAGTGTAAGTTTGGAGATAATACCTAAAGTAAGGTCCTCGAGTGTTTTTATTCACGTCTTCTACCCATTTAGTTACATCATAATTTTCTTTGACAGGAGGGGTTAAATACCTGTGGGAGGGGGATGGACACAACACAAAGAGAGAAAGGAAATGGAAAACAACACAGAATAAGCACAAAGGAGGAGGAGGAGAGAGGAAATATTTGAGGAAAGCAGAGCAGAGAAAAGATTGGTGAGAAAATGGTGTCAGACCTGTGAGATTCAGATGAAGCAACATCACAAACAACAGTGTCCAGTGTCACAGGCTCAGACAGGCTCAAACCCAAAGCACAAAGCCCACTCCATCACTCTCATGCCGCTACAGGAGCTGGTGCCAACTAATGCAAGGACAAGGCCTCCGAATGCACCGAGGAACAAGGCCCAAGCCAATCGTGCAGTCTGCATTTCACTGATCAGGCCACACAGACTAGCCAAAGAGGAATAATAATACAGTTCACTTTAAAATGTCCTATAATGCAGAGGACAAACATCATGCTGAGCTGTTTGATAGTTTTAGTTTGGTTGTATTAATTATGGAAACAATTTTGAATGGAACAGTGCACATGTTTGTAATTAAAAATATCCATTGTCTACATTGTCTTGCTGTAAGTCTGTTTAATGATAAAATAATAGATATTTTTGGGGATCAGATTGGACTTACTCTGTGGAGTTTGAGCGAGCACGAAACTTCTTCCCTTTCAGTTTCTTACGATTGCCACTCAGATTTCCTGATGAGAAACACCACAAAGTCAGTTGCATCCACACAGGGCTTATCTGGCTCTGGTCTGAATGTTACCTTGCCAGGAGTTGCTCCTTGGCCGGCCGTTCTCACAGATGTCAGAGATATGTTTGGCATCTGGGATTCTCTCACTCCACGAGTGGGACAACCCATTGGATCTACACATGTGCACATCACAACAGGGTCACAGATTGGGACAGGTATAAAGGCTGAGGTGCAGCTGTTGTTGACTAAAGTGGTGATGGGAGGACGAGGTCAGTGAAAGAAGGGTAGCCATTTGAGCAGAGAGCATGGCTTAGTACTATGTAGCTTAATGTAGGGCATGATGTGGGGAAAGTGAGTATTCAAATACAGAGGCTGTATTTATACTCTACGCCAAAAACACTGGCATGAGCGGGGAACATTTTATACCTCCCAAAATGTTCACGGAATCCAAGACAGAGAAGGAAAGATGGTACTTACAAGCGAGATGGAGCTTAACTGGTCTACAGCAGTGACTCAGCATAATGACTGCTCCTCCACACACACACACGCACACTGATGACAGAGGTGATGATGGCGCACCTGAAGCCAAACACTGAGAGGTTCTGTGAGAATGATGGGATGGAGGGGGTGAAGGACAGGGTGCACAGCTGCAGGTGGGACAGGCAGGCTGACCTCTTCTTGGAGCTGCAGCCTGAGTTGGTGCTAACGCCTGGAGGCATGTCGCTGTAGAACGAGTCTGCGTCACTCGGCTTCGTCACATAGTCTCCAGGAGGGATTTGCCTAAAAACACAGATTGGAATTTAGGTATTTGGACATATAATCCGTCTGCTTGGCCTCCACAATGTTTTCTGTAGTTAAACAACTAGATTCTACTAGATAGATGTTAAACCATAGTCAATAACAGGTAGTGAAATTGGAACTCAAATGTTGTCCTTAGCCAAGATTAAAAATAAAAGTCTTGCCTGACCCACCAGACCCATATGATTTAACATATCGGTACCTTTCTGCTCGGCTCGTCAAGCTAATACATTTTAGCTCCAAATATTTTTCCTTGGTCTTTGATGAGCTCCTATTGTCAAAAGTATAACAAGTTTAAAACTAGTTCAGTTATTGTATGTTTGGACTGAACATAAGCTTGGTCAAAGTTAAAAGATTGACTACTCCTTTATTTTTTAAGTGAACATATTCTAATTTTGTGTTAGGTATACATTTTTATACATTTCAGAATAAAAAATGAATAAAAAAATGGTTAAATGTTTTCTTGAGAAAATCAGTTTTAAAAGGAGGTACAAGTCATGGGAGCTAATTTTAACCTTACATCAATGCAGGAAGTTTATAGTAATAATTGAAATCATTTTTCAATCATTACTAAGTTTATGATTCATATTCATTCATGACAACAACTCAACAGCAGTTTTCCACCACGACCAAAGGGAGGTCGTCCAAGGAAAGTACAGTAAACCTCTTTTGAAAACAACACATATTTAGGGAGAAGGGGACAAACCGGCAGAATCTTCGGTGGACCTCAGACTCCACGTAGCGCCTCTGCTTGTAACTCCTGCAATGAATGAGAAACAAAGATCTGAAAACTGTGTAGCCATGATTTTATCAACAAAGATTAGGAAACTAATGTTAGGCCTGATGAGTTTTCAGACATCCTTGGTATGTTATCGGGGTTGCTTTGTGACAATAAAATATTCAAAAATCTCAATACTGTATTCCCATTTGAACTGTCTAAATTGTGGTACTTGATCCATAGTAAAGGGAGAAAAACACATTGATTTGTATAATTTACACACTGTACATTTGTACAAGTGTTCTTACTAAACCTGTTGTGCTTTACTTTCATTTTTACAAACTACAAAAATAGAATGATATATAAAAAAAAACAATAAAAGCCATCTCACTATTTCCTCGCTCTCAATGCATGTATTTTGCCTCTGTCACATATCACACATTTAGGTACGGTACCCCAGCTTTAAAGGGATAGTCAGTAACTTGCACTGTTAGAGGTCTAAGAAAGTCATTACGAATGCAATCACACTTTTGTTGCCACAATCTCCCTGCCTCTGACTCATGCAGCTTCTAAACATTGATCGCTGATGCAAACCACCTGCTGGGGAATAACTCCACTTTAAACCTTTGTGCAGAAAAGGTCAAATATGATTGTCGACCCATTATCTGGGGAAATGTCGCATGTGTTCGGACAGTGTGAATATGAATCTGTTCAGAAGTGACAGCACACCTCTGTACACCACTCCACTGTGGTGTAAACATAAACAGGCCACACTGCAGAAGCCTAAAGCTGCCAATAATAATGCTTTCAGGGTTCTGCTAAAAAGCCCAGGAACCAGTCTTTTTTATTTTAAATTCATCCGTCGCCTGAATAATTCCCAGGTCTCCTTTATGGAAACACTTTTATAAACTGTATTTTTATATGCGAGTCTTGTTGGTGTCTGTCTGTGTTTCTTGTTCTTAGTGTGGACCTAGAGTCTGAAACAATGATGACGATGACTACACACTGTCCCTTTAAATGTGCGGGTACTAAACAATAACACCACACTGGGAAAATATTAGTTTAGGTCATGTGAACCGATCTGATGGACTTCGATATATTGTATGTAATGCTATTAGGTGTTTAAATACATGTATGTAGTAATGGAATACATAGTTATGGAATAGGAATCACGAAACAATAAACAAACAAAAAATGTCCTTTAAGTGGGAAAGAAAATCAAGTGTTCCAAAAGTTCCAAAAAGTTCTAGATGAATAATATTTCCAAGAGTATTGTAATTGTAATCCGAATGTGTAATTGTAATCAAGACTGTTCCTACCGCGGCGATGCAGGACAGACCTACGATACAATACTGCTAATCTATATGTGATTGTCCCAGCTCTACAGTTTAATTCTTGATTCAGAAAAGGTGGAATATCACATGTTCTCTTTGAATTACGATCGCTCCCTGTTGAATAGTGATTTAGAACAGTCGTTTGAAGCAATATCATGGAGAGTATTGTGGCCACTCACTTGTAGCACCAGGCTGTGACCGCCAGTATCAGCGCGAGGAACAGGACAGAGCCCGCAATGGCCCCGATGATGATGTTTGTGTTGGTGATCCCTGAGAGAAAGAGAGAAGGAGGAGGAAGGAAGGGAGGGAGGGAAGCCAGAGAAAACAAGTGTTAATCGCTGTGTTCCTCCAATTACCAGAGTAACTCGCTCACATGGGAATCACAAACCACAAAAGACTGTCGCGGCGGCACACAATAACAGACCACACGGAGCGGGACAAGTGTCAGTGGAAAAACAGGGAATCCACAGCTGTTATGACCAGAGAAAACCAACCAACAAGTTTGCATTGAAAATAATCCAGATATAATAGTGATTCAAATGGGATGAGAGTGGAAAAGAACCAATAGGAAGGAAAAACACACGCCAAATACAATGAAGAACTCCAACCTGGTCAAGAAAATCCGTCTAGACATCGGCCTGGATGTAATGGCAAATAAAATGACATGCGCAGTTTGGTGAATACAGAAAAACTTGATTAAATAAGTGAAGAGTGACAGCAGTGGAATTATAGATATTATAGTTGTTAAGTGTGATCGCATTTCTCACTTTCTGCTGAGAGCTGTTTTTATTCTTAACTTTATGAAAGAGTTTAGAATAATTTTGTCGGGATGAGTTAAAGATAGAGTACTTAACTATTCTTTCTTTCATTTATAAATTTCAAACTTTATTTATTAATGTCACACTTTAGTTTAGCCCCCCTCACTAATAAAATGCTGTGTATAATCTATGGTTGATTATTTGTTAATTGGTATTTATCAAGCACTTATTCAGTCCTTATTCTACAAACTGAAACTTTCCCATGTGGGTTAGGGCTAGTGCATAATAATTATCACTGAATTAGCTGTTAATTGGTGAGGGCTAATCAAAAGTGTCTTGTTTAAGTAACATTTTGTGAACATATAGATCACAAAATGCTGTCTCTATCATTAGAAGATATGTTTGTAAGCTTATTGGCTGAGTAAGTAAGTAAGTAAGTAAGTTTTTATTTATATACCGCCTTTTCACTGCAGATCTGAGTCTCAAAGCGGTTTACAATTATTAATTTTGGGCAATTGTCTCTCACTCCACACAGAGATGGGAGCGGGGTCGCCAGTACAGGAAGCGCATGCCAGAACTATTGGACATATTTTTAGTGGTAGGGGAAACCGGAGTACCCGGAGGAAACCTACGCAGACACGGGGAGAACATGCAAACTCCACTCAGAAAGGCCCTGGTCCGACCGGGATTCGAACCCAGGACCTTCTTGCTGAGAGGCGAGAGTGCTATCCACTCAGCCACCGTGAGTGAGGGCTGGTACAAAAATACAAGCATGTGAAAACTAGTGGTATAACGAAACCCTTTTGAGAGCTATGAACTAGTTACATGTACAAATTATCATATGTTTTTGTGGTATCAAATTTAAGCACTCCGGCATAAATCAACATAAACTGGCTTTAAATGATAAACCAAGCCAACATTATTCTAATTTCATGCTGATAAGTAGTGCTGCTAACTTGGTGAATCACATCCGACACATAAATTAATTCACTCCACCAAATCAAAGAACAATCTTAAAAGTTGGCCCAGTAACATTCCTCCTGTGTGTCATAGTTTACCACCAGGAAGTAAATATAGTTTTGAAAGAAAACTAAAATAAGGTTAAACTGGAAAATTTGGAAAATCTTGACAAAAGCAGACCCGGAAGTGTAGAGTTTTTGATCATCACTTAACATCCCCATAGTGATTTGTACAAGTGGTGATAGACACATTTGTGAACAGAAGTTGTAACGTTGTACCTGAAACGGGAGCGGTGGGTCCCACGGCGAGGTATCCCACTGGAGAAGTGGAGTTACAGTCGTCGCCCGCCCAGCCCAGGTGACACACACACTTCAGATCACTGCTACACAACTACGACAACAAGATGCAGAGGTCAAGGTTCTGAAGACATAGGACTATCGACAGCTGTGAGAACTTACAGAAGAAATATTATGCATTATTTTTGGAAATTACAATAAATACTTTGTCATATTGTGTTTTAACATGTGAAGTACAATCTGCAGTAGAAAACGGTGAAACAAGTATCAAGAGTAAAGATGAAAGAAAATGTTGACATGTAAGAGCTGCAACTACCACCATGTGATTGTAAAGAAATATATTAAACTTGAGAAGATTTTTATTCTGCTTTTGTCTGCACTTTCCATTATTGGTTAGAAAAATGGTTTTAAAAAAAAAACAGCTGAATCCATCGCAAATATATTATGCATGCATGCACTCCCCAACTGTGGCAGTGTAGTATTGGTACTTAGAAAAAATTGGCTTGTTTTACCATTTTTTTTCCAATACTGAAAAAATAATAATAACAGTCTTTCTGGATACTTTAAGTGTGAAAGGCAGATGAGGAGTACCCCGTGTCCAGAGCAGGTGACTTTGTCGGTGGTTCCAGGGCAGGTGCTGAAATTAAACTGCTGAAGTGGGAGACACTTGTGGTTGAAGCAGAGATGGTTGGTCCCACAGGCCGTCCCGTCCTCCACATACCCCAGGTCTGTGTCTCCATTGATCACCACATGAGCCCCGCTGCGCCACAACAGGTCAGGTTCAAATACAATGATGACAAGTGTTAATGAAAATAGTCAATTATTTTAAATTCTATGGTTTGGTAAGACTTGATATCTGAGTAGTTTAAGAAAGTTGATATTAAGCAAATGGAAAATGTAGCGTCTTAGTTATCAGAATTACAGCTTGCAATAATTGTGTTACAACAGGGGTGCCCAAACTTATTTCATAGAGGGTGGTCCGGAGGTCGACAGAGCATTTATCGTATATTACTTTTACACCAATGCTTTCTATATTATAGGGCAGGAGTGTCCAAACTTGAAGTAATAGGGCCACTTTAGTTCAATAGACTTGTCCAGGGCGACAGCATGGAATACAAAACTGTTTTGACTCGATTTGGGATGATCTGGGCTTTTCAATGGGGTATGATATGTCCATATTGATTTACACCACAGCTACAGTAGTGGAATTTGTTGTTACATTAAAAAAGTCAGTATATACAAATACAAGTTCTGACCAAGGTATAGCAGGACTATATTGTTGGAGCTGCGGCTGGCTGGATGACACTGCCATAGTGCCTCAATGGCTACTTTATGTTCTCAGCAGAGGAACACATACAATGACACAACAGGCCATGTTTGGCCCGCGGGCCTCAGTTTGGACATCCTTGTTATATAGTATCATCGATAACAAACAGCTGGGCACAATACAGCTCAAACAATAGTGTTATTCAAGTTATTCATCCACCACAAGTCTGCGCTATGGTCCGGAGTGTTGTACCTGCAGTCCAGAGAGCCGCTGTGCTGAGCCACAGTGAAGGAGGTGAGGCCCCCCTGCAGCTCACCGAGCCGTGGAGCAGGAGAAATGTTTGAGCACAGCAGGTATCCACAGTGAACATCTCTGCGACACAAACACGTTCGAATTCAGATCAGAATAATATTTTTTTCTGTACAACAAATCCATTAAATGCAGCACTAGATTTTGACGTCTGAACTGAAATTATGGCAAAATCTTTGAATATCATTACTTCTCACTAGTGTTTTAGCTGAGCTCTTACATGACTTCAGTAGTACATGCACATCTCTGCACCAGGACCAAACAAAAATGTAATAATTGTCATACTGTTTATTGCACTGGATCCACGTATCTTTGTCTTTCCCACAGTTTCCTTTTTCTGTTCCTTCGATGTTGAGCTTCTCATAACAATATTCATCTGCTGCTGTCGCCTCTAATTCAAAAATTAAAAATATGTCATAAAGTTGTACACATATTAAAATAGTAAGTAAGCTTTATTTATATACTGTAATGTAATGTAGGTTTTCATCACTTACTCTCTCCCCAAATGAATTTGCACTGTCTGTCTTTGGTTTTGCACCGACCGTTGAAGCAGCGTCCCTGAACAACACAGAGACGTTCAAAATATGTTGTAACAGGCTTTTAGTCTCATAAACAGACATTATTTATACCTGTTCTTTTTCACAGGAGTAACCATCCATTTTGTGCACATTCGGCGGACACTGCAGAAGACGTAGGTTTGTTTAAAGCCGCTAATTTCATTGTTCTTTAACAGGTTTAAGTTAGTATGTGATATGATGTCAGCGCTTGGCCTCCGCACTCACCTCTCCTGAGTTCCCGGTGCAGCTTTCTGGTATGTCGCAATCATTCACTGCCTCTCTGCAAACGGCACCCAAAAATGCCATCTAAAAAAAACATTTAGATATAGTTCAGATGGCCTGGGACACCTCAGGGATCACCTGGCTGGAGGAAGTATGTGGACAGGGAAGTCTGGGCATCTCTGCTCAGACGACTGCCCGAGTCTGGATCAAGCGGACAATAATAGATGGACAGATAGATAAAACCATATTAACAATTCAATTCAATTCAATGTATTCTTTTATCCCCAGATCACAACAGTACTTATCTCAGAGGACTGGGAGATATTATTTTTTTATGCTGTGAAATAATAATATTTTTGTTATATAATTATTATGATATTATATTATATACAGTTAATGTCATTATTATGGTGCAGCAGACACATTGTGTAATTTCACAGTAACTAGCATTTCTCTCAGTAACCCTTCCATGGAATATGAGGACAGGAGGGCTATTCTGGATTTATTGAAGAAAATGCTAGAACTCGACCCAGACAAGAAAATTACGCCAGATGAAGCTCTGGCACATAAATTCATAACAATGAGTCACTTTCAAAGTGTCTTTCAGTATGTAATGAAGTTGGGAAAACTAGCTAACTTTACTCCAGGCCAGACTATCAAACATGCCCATTAGACGACAGCGATTTATGGTCAGCTTGAATCCCCCCCCAGTAATGAGGCCTCATTAAGTGCTAGCGTTCCACCTGCACCAAGTTATACAAGAGAGGGCTTAGCACCACAACCTGCACCCTCAAGTAATACAAGAGAGGGCTTAGCACCACAGAGCGAATTTCAACCCTTAAGCCAATTCGCACCTGATGGAAATGTTAATGCTCAGCAACAAGCAGAAGATGCAGCTGGACCCTAAATTGCATCATACAATGTACACAAGTCTATTGTAGCAAGTACGAGCTTCCCATACATGTTAATGAAGCAGACACAGCCTCTACATTCAAGGGCAGGCTTAAAACAGTACCCTTCAAATAAGCATATGGTTAGGTAATCTTAAGTATCTGAAGTATCTGAAGTATGGTAACTTGAGCACTATCCTCTCCTACTTCCTACATTACCTGTCTGTAGTCTTTCCATTTGCTATTTTTCAGCTTAGGTAGCTTAGGTCCTGGATCTAAAGCCTGTCCGTCCGTGTGGAGCGGATCCCTCTCAATGTGGGCATCCCTAAGGTTTCTCATTTTTCTGATGCAGGAGGGTCGGTTGGACAGTAGTGTCTAATAAGAAGGACTGTGGTGATGATCCAGGACACTTTAACATTCTACAACATGTATGGACATTTATCAACATTCATGGGCAACTCCCTATGGACCAATACATATGTTTTCTATATTTTTTGGTGTTTTATCTTTTTGATTCTCTGATCTGTGCTGGCAATTTCAACAGTTTTGTTAAGTCCTTTGAGATAACTACTGTTGTAATTTAGGGCTATTCAAAAATAAATTGAATTCCATACAATTGAATGTTATCTCATGCTATGATAAGGTTTTGCTAGGGGAAACTTTCTGTGGCCTACTGAGAAAAAAAACCCCAATAAATTCACTAAAGTATCATGTAGAACCTTATTTTATAAGTTTATGAATAGGACAAAAACATGAGGATATAATCTATGTCCTCCTCGGGCCACCGCAAAGACGTGAAAGAATACACCAACATCCTTCTGCCTTTAACAATAACTGCAAAAATGGAAACTAAAACTACAGCTTTGCGTGGTTTTGTTTGTACCAACAAAGGAGTAAAATTCTCCTACGTTTATCGCTTGAAGCACACATAGTTGTTTACATTTGTTCTCGGCTACTGCGCATGTCCAAATGTACGTGCGGGGAAGTCATTCAGTGAGTCAGCCAGAGAATTCACATCTTTATCTTCACGTAGCTGTGAAACAGCCCCCCGCTGAGCAGCGTATCTGTTCTGTTCCACTCTGGAGGCTGTTTCTCAACGCTTGCATTTTCACTCCCCTGAAACACTGTCTTCATGTAAACAAAAGGCCAAACCGATACCCAACTCATAAACACCACCTAAGGATGTTTCCCTTCATGGTGGCAATTACTCTTTCCTCATCCAATTAGTTTGTTGTGTTCACCACTTTAAAATACAAACAAGGCAATATTTGCTGACGATATTATAACAATACGTCGGTAAACTTTGAAAAAATATCAAAAAACTTAAAGGTACAGTATATGGGAGGATTTTCTTCTTCCGGATGGATCATTTAGACTAGAGTATTTGTCCCCCTAATTGTCAATCATTTGTGGAGATACAGTGTTTGAAACACGTTATAATCGGCATTCCCTCTGAGGAGAGCGGTTCTTTCCTAAAATTTGGGAAAATCCTTCTATATACCTTTAAGATGTAACTGGTTCCTCACTATCAATACAGTTTGGTTCTATCACTAGATTTCACATCCATGTATTTTTGTTAAATCAGCTCTCAGTATGTATGAGATAACATGTTTTCTAATGAGATAAAGACATCATGTTGTGGTCCCATTTATTTACATAACTACTTTCTGTTGGAACAAACATAATGTATTCAAGAAACAAAAAACAAAAAACAAGTTTTAAATAGCCAGTTTTTCTGTGAGTTGTCTGAGTGTTGCCTTTATGTTTGTTATGTCAACACTATATTTTTTATGTGTGTGATTAACCGGTGGTATGGTGAATAAATAAATTAATATACATAAATAAATGAAAAAGAAAAAAAAGTGCCTGATGCATCAGTTTTAAATAGCGCTTTTTTGGACACTCAAAGATACTTCACATGGTGGTGACAGAAACAAGGAAACCGCTTCGACCACCACCAACCCTTCACACACACCAGACTCTTTCTTGGCAACGTGGGTGAAGTGTTTTGCCTATGGACACAATGACACTTGGCACTTTACAGCCGCCCCACTGTGGCACCTGGTGTTCTCAGGTTTCCCCATCACAGCACTAACCAGGCCCTGCCCTGCACAGCTTCAGAGGTCTGATGGGGTCTGGCTTTCACATGCAGGTATGTGAAAGCCAATCCCACACAATCTCTGTTGTGAATGTTGTCCTGGTACCTGGCAGTTGTCGCAGCAGAGTCCGTTGCTGCACTTGGAGCCTTGCGTCAGGGTGCACTGTCTGCAGCAGTTCTCTCCCTCTATTGCACACTCCTAGTAACACAAAGGACAGATTTACGGGAAACCTCTATAACAATCTAACATGCATTTGTCCTTCTAAAACATTTACTTAGACTTGGAGCAGATATTAGACGCAATTAAAAACTATATACCTAAGCTGGAAAAGAGATTAAATACTTCTGGTGTTTTGCTGGTCAATTATTCAAAACAAAGGAGGGCTGCTCACCCAACATCTGTACCTGCTAACTGAAGTACAGATGATGGGTGAGCGACCCTCCTGTTTTAGAATTTAAACAGTATTTTGATAAGAATGCATTTTTTTTCTGTAAATATAATGTAAAGTAAGTAGTTTATTTTAAATGTGTTTAATAGAGTTACTCCCTTATGGCCTGCGAGCCCACCCAATGGAAGGGGGTTTTAATTGTGTCCAAAGGAGAGGGCTGAGCAGGGCAAACTGGAGCTTGCATTTTGAACATTTGCTGACATTCACATTAACTACAGAGGCATGAACTATGGTGTTTCTGTGGGGAAAAACCACATAACTCACAGCTGGGCTCCCGCAGTCGCATTCTTCCCCTGGCTCCACAAAGCCATTCCCACAAATAGGAGGGTCCAACAGCTGAAAAGAGGATTGGACATTGAAAATCAGCCCTGGCTAAAATGTTGTAGTGTGTAACATTAAACACACTTGTCTCTATTGAATAAACCCAATACAAAATTAATACACTTCAGTAAGAGAGTAAACATTTATATGTTCTCGTTCTCTCATCTTGTTAGTTGTGTGGGGTGAATTTGGACACCTTCATTGGTTTGTTGAACAGACAGGCTCCTCCGCCGCTGTTGAGGAAGTTGTGGTATTCTTCAATGTTGCAGTTGGAAAATTTCTTGGGCAGATAGTAGCTAAAGGGGAGAACAAGAATCAATTAATTTGTTCTATATTACATTATCCAGAGATTATTAAACATTCTAAGTCAAACATTCTAGACTGGATGGTTCTCTTTTTTGGAAAAATGGAAGTTAATAAAAACATGGAGTCATTATTGCATCATACCATCGTTCTTACAGGTCTGCTGGAACTGACCGCAGCACACACAATGCAATAACAGGTTTCGCCAGATGGGAGACGTACTTATTGTTTCAATACATAATGTGATGATGTGAATACAGCAACTCTTTTGACAGTATTTACAAAAGTCAGCATAGGTCTTTACTTTATTAGAAGTGATTTTAAGTTTATGAACAACCAGGGTTCTGATGGCTGCTATATTCTCCCTTAAACAAAATACAAACAACTTCTACTGTATATACACTATCCTGAGACAAATGTTGGATAAAATGTCTATAATTACTTAGATTAAGCATGCAGAGTGCAGCTCATAGAATACAAGTGTCTGGAAAACTGACACTTCGATCAGAAATCACAAATGACAAAGTCTTAAATCTGAACCATCACCTGTCCACTAGCAGCAGTTTGAACATGGGTCAAATATTGAGTCTCACACATTTCAGTGTGAAACTGTGAGACCAGGACAAGTGCTGGTTTGATAGAAAGAAAGAAAGTAATCATAAAAATATAATAAAACATGTGTTCACCAGTTTGTAAGTTTGGCTAAAAGGACCACTCACATGGTACACTATTAAATGATATTGGAAATACAGCTAGAATTTCAACACTGCATTGGGAGTATCTAAATGAGTCAGATGGTTTATAATTACTATTTAAGATTGAACAACAATGAGATTTATTTATTCAAGACTTCTTTGTCACTCTTAAAACCTCTAGAGGCACAACTGCCCTGGAGCAGATTAAAGCACAAGCGTTCATACATACATGTAGGTACAAGCTTACTTATGTATGAACTGCTTTTCACAGGATTCCATTTCAGAAATAGCTAATAGTCAATTTGCAAAAACAGATTTTGAAGATATATGTACTATATTTGGCATGTATTGTTAATAGCACTAGATTAAGTTATTATTATTATTAATATTTTGTATGCACTAAAATGTATCTGACTAATGTGTAATGTTTTGTCAACCTATTCTATTCATCAATCTGTTATGCAAATTAACAACTTAAGTCTTGTTGTTTTAATCCAAGTATCTAGACTTAGTTTTAATCTATTGTGGTCCAGGTTTAGGCTTTGTTTTGGTTTCATTCCATTCTTTAGGCCATTAGATTAAACAAAGCAACCCATCTGAACTCTTAATTCTGAACTATAAAATGTGTGTGTTATTCAAACTCATATAGATACATGTTTCTTTCAGTGATCATCTCGCTGTATTTGTTCTTATCATTTGAGCCCAGTAGAAGCTGAGGCCTTTGCTCGGATGAACCAAGAGGAGTTGTGATGACTGACAACCCTCCACAGCCACACAAGCGACGTTCAGCCAAGCTTCTGCTCACCTGCTGTCCCATTATAGAGGGAAAGAGGGAAATGCATGTGAAAAGTATTTAAGAACAGGGCCACACAAACACACAACTGACAATATGCAGGTACAGACAAAACACAAGGCTCACAGGCTGAAATAATGACAGATAACAGTGAGTGAGCTTTGCAGATGAAGGAATAAACAGAACATGTCACTTCATCAGACTGCAGTGACATCAAGTGGTTGAGCACAAAACTACAATAACACAGAAACAACTTTCTATCATATTTTATAACATGATGTGCTCGAAAGTGAATTATCCAAAAACCAAATGATCCAAAGTTTCAAGAACCAAGGTTGAAACTCAGAGAAGCATAAAGAACCCGTAAAAGTAAAAGTACAGGTTAAAGTATACTTTGATCAATCCCTGTAGAGTAATGTGGACTGACTGTGCTCCAAACCATCAGATCTGCAGCTTGGCTGGTTCATGAATATCATTTATCACTGCAATTGTACTGCTTTCTGAGTACTATCCAAATAAACGCAGCTCTAAACTAGTAGTTTTCTAGGTCTGAAGTAGTGCTAAAGCAGGTCCTACATAGCACTGATCTGGATGATTCGGTTAAATCCGGGGCAAATGTAGTATTCTTATGATGGTACTGCTCTGTTTAAGAAGAAATGAACCATCTGAGCCTTTGGTGGATTCAGATATCCACAAACGAAGCATACTTTTTCCTAAGTGCAACCGAGTATGATTGAACGAAGGACAAACCCAATGGACGACAAACATTTATAATAAAAAATGACTCAATGTCCTGGAGAAGAATCTGTGTGGAGGCAGTTTGAATAATAGTGGGCTTGTTGAGTTAGAAGACTTTAAAAATCCTAGCAGTAGTTCAGTCAACATCCGCAATCATATTCTGGCTCAGAAACAATGGACGTGCTGGTTTCTTACCCCATATCCTCCATGATGCAGCCTGCCCACCGATCATCGCACTGGCACTCACCTGATAAATGACACATTGAAATGATCCAGTGTAATTAGAGAAAAACCAGAATATTGATGCTTACGATTCATGATGCGTTTCTGATCAGAGAAGATGCCAATGTTTTGTCCAAGAGTCTGAGCCAGCGTTATGGCCATTACCTCGGGTTTGCCATACTAATAAAACATCAGGGAGTTAGTAAAATAATGAAACAAAGAAAGCGAAAAATCAATCAAACATACTTCAATAATTCCAACTCCTTTAGTGAGAGAGCAGACTCCTCCCATGTACGATGCTCCTCCCCAGTGGTTGTGAAATTGGTTTCCACTAAAAATACAAAAAGTGATAAAAGTACAATACTATAATTCTAAAATCAATAGTCATTCATTCAATAATTAGTAATATAAAAAGTGTAGGGTGCAGAAAAGTATGCATGCATAGACATTTTTTTTGATAAAGATCCAGGTACAATGTGTAGCAAAAGCAAAAATGAAACAATCTCCCCAAAATAGCTTGTATTTATTCAGTACTTTTGTCTAAACTCAAAGCTTGTTACAGTGTATGATTTATTGACACGCAGTCCAGGGTTAGACTGATGGAAACCAGGCCACAAATCTGTGCCACCTGCCCTCCACCATCACAATTCACCGATATTTATTTGCCATTTCACATCATCCATTCCTGCTGTAAGTGTCTTTGAACTGCATACTCACGAGAAAAGGTGCACCGAATCACATTTCTCCTTGATGAAGTCTTTTCGATATTTCATAAACTCCTTCAGTGTCTCCATGGGGTCATCGTCGATGTTGAACTTGTTGTCTGCTGCCCAGGTTTCCATGGCAACTAGGACTATCCGTGTGTTGAGCTGCTCTTTGAAAATCTATGAACATTTTTTTAAACACATTTTGATTAGAAATTTGTTGAGTATGTGCCCATGTTAAAACTATACATTTATAGACTGTAATGTACTGGCTATATGTTCTACAAATATGTATATGATATATTATGATATATTTCTTGTTACTACGGCTTTACAATTTCTGCCACTACCAGCTTGTGTCCATTTGCTTTGTATAATTATCCACAGACAGTATGTCATTAAATGTATACATGTCTGGTGACAAGCTGATGCCACAAGATCAAGTTTTTGCTTAACTAATGTGTTTAATGCCATAATCTGAACTATACCATCTGGCAAAATATGACACAACTACAGGTGTTACTACAAGAATATCAGTTACAATATTGTGTTGTATGGAGAGGGAATTAATTCATTTCCAGCTTGTGACTGAGCCCCAAATTGCATTTTTGATTGGATTGTAATCACTGTAGCAACGATAATTAAGTTAGTAATACACTTCTAATTTCCTTTGGGATTGACACAGTATCCATCTAACATTTTACATTGACTATTTATGAGAGGCGGATATTGCCAAGAAGTTCACGATACAATTTGGATCACGTTACACTGTCAACGTGTGCAAACAGGCTTTAAGAAATCTAGATTTTTATGTTATTCTTATTGCTAGAAAACAAACACAATGAAGTGTGCACAATGCCCTTTCAATCCGAGCATAACTTTCAAATTGAATACAGTTATCATTAGAAGGTAGCAGAAAGTAGTTATTCAAGAATTTTATACAGTCCTTTTCACTGAAAACAACAAAATTAAGTTTAGAGCATTAGCAACTCTGCAGAGTTGTTCAAAGGAGAACCATTGCACACTTCATCTACTGTGCCCATAGACTGTGTGACCTTATGCGAAGGACAGAAGTTACAACCCTTTCCGTCTGCACATCTGATCCTTTTACACCTATGCCCTTGCGTGGGGTTTGGTTTCAAAGCGGCTAAAGCGCTGGAGCTAAAATAATAGTATGGGGATGCTTCTGCTGCTGAGAATGGACGGGAAGCTCACAGCTGGCTGGTAAATGGCTGCTCACAGCACATTATGAGTTTTGGAGGTTTTAAATGGAGAGACTGAGGTTGGTAAAATGAGAAATCAGGGCATTGTGTGCTCAGCTTTAATACATGGAGTGCTTGTGGCTGCCTTTCCAGAATGAAGATCAATACATTTCTTACCATGTCAGCCATATTGACCACTGACTTAGCATAGTTATTTGTGTGCCCCGGTGAAAGCCGATGCTTCTTGAACTGAAATAGACAGAAATGTATAATTGAGTGTTGTGCAGTGGAAGTATTGGATAAATCAGCAAATCTTTAGAATATTAAATTTGTCTTATTATTACGCCTTTGTTTATAAAACAGTTTAAGTCCCAGTGGACCTAGTGCTGTGTTTTCAATTTGGATGGAAAAAAGGGCTTGAGATAAAGAATGGGGGAAGAAAGTGAAACAATATAGAACAGTATACTGCTCAGTTGTGGAAAATAATAGTCAGCTCTTCCTTTAAATTGTGATTATTTACAGTAATTACTTCTATACTGATTAAATCAAAAGCATTGAAAAGAAAGTAATACTTTTATCCTCAACTACAACAACAAATTATGGAAATACATAAGGGTAATATATACGTACCATTATATGATCATTGATTACCATCAACTCAATGTATTTGGTCTCATCCTCAACATTACGTGACATACGCGACGCCTGAAACAACAAAATAACAAAACATATATCTAAATACAGAAAACAGTTGTCACAATATGTGCATTTGAAGTAAACCAAAAAATAAATGGCACCTGTCTCTTTTTCCTCCGTTGAACAACTTTAGATCCTGGAAATGGTGGACTCGGAAAAGGTGGCTCTGGAAGATCACCTGAATGTAGTTTTTAATAAAGTTATTAGAATTTTGATATGATAAATAAATATGTATAAACCAAATATTTCTTACCGTTTAGAAAAACACCAAAACCCTCCTTGTAGATGATGTGAATTTGGTCATTTTCCTGAAATCACATTTTTGTTTCATTTAATTCATTATATGAATCATTTCACAGTAATGTCTGTTCACTTAAAACATCTTTCCCAGTCTTGAAAAATAGTCTTCACTGCCTTGTTACACTCTTGTTATAGTTAAAACTTAGAAGTCTTCCAAAATCTTGAATGCTTATGCTAACCGCCAATATTCGAGACGAAATAAAAAATTAGACAAATAAGCTGCTATTTGCTTCACATGAAACGTAAAAAAGGCCCGGGAATACTAGCTAAATAAATCATAATCTCAGCTCAGTCCAGACGCCCTGCCCCATCAGATCCTTTGAGTCAACACCCCTCAGCCCTTCAGTCTGTCACGTCCTGTTTATCTCAGGGTTCTTGTACTGTGACAGATCAAGCCAAAATGTACTGGTGTCATTCATGAACCTGACCACACTGCACATCCAGTCGGTAATGTGTAACTTTTCTTTCTTTTTAACCAGAAGTGAAGCCTGTGTTTGGCGAACGCGACCTGAATGCAACAGGTTGTACAATGCTAACATTAGCATTAGTTAGCTCGCTGTGTAGCTAGCTAATGCGACACATCGACCCAATAGCTATTGAGTTTATCAATACCAAAAGTCTATAGTGTTGTCAACAATTATCACCAAGTACAAAAACATTCCAGATATGTATTAGTTAAAGCAAATGCGAAACATCAAACTTAATGTACATGTAAAATGATGCGTTAGCTCAGGAAGGCTAGGGATTTGTTGACAGTAGCCACAGCAGCCAATCAGCCTAACGCTACTTCCCAAGCGCAGTCTTTTTTTCTTAGTTTGCAATATACTTTTGTAAATATGCAATCAGCTCACTAAGAAAACAATACTTTGCACATAAGACGACCTATCTAACAGCAACAATGACAGAGATTCTATGTTTGGTAGAAAGGCTCTTTTCAGTACAGTGATCTCATTTTGTGACACATAGTTGATGCATTGGTACATTGTTATTAGTTCAGACTGTAATCCTCCGCAGTTTGGACACTTAACAACCTCAGACACATTGTCGTCCTCTATGTGCACACGAAACTAGTGCATTGTTTCTCTGGGACTTGGATATTAGGTCACTACAGAGTACAGACAGGGGGATGCCCATAGCTAGGTCAACGTTGTGTTCTAAAGTAGGGAACAGTGAACGTAAAAGCTGTATTCACACTGAAAATGAGCACACCACTGTAAACTTAACCCTATTAAGTGTCCCCACTTAATACACAATCTAGATCTTTCATGTCAAATACAGTTGATATTATTATTATTATAGCTAAAGTGTCTGCTGAATGTCTGAAATAGGCAGCTTTTAAAGCTAACTTATTAACTAATTTGTATTTTTACTGTAGTAACTGTAGAAGTCAAATAAAAAAATCAACAAGGTTATGTAGTATTAATGACAGCAGCTAATCTTATCGATACTAGATCCAACAAAATTCCCTAATTTTAAGTTTGAGTTGCAACAATTACCATAGTGTCAAAATCAGTTTTTACTAATGGCGCAAAGACAGGAGATTCAGCCTACATATTTACCTTAATCTACAGACATACTATGGAAATTGGAATTATCGTAATTGCTGGACTATAAGCCGCTACTTTTTTCAAGTTCTTTAGATCCTGCTGCCTTTATAGCAATGCGGCTTATATACGTTTTCATTTTATTTTGTTAAAACGCCCTTTGGGGTGCAGGAATGGATTTGGACACAACTCTGTCAGCTGTAGAAAAAAATACTTTTCAAACTAAGCTGCAGATTATTTATAGGTGCACTTAATAGTCCAGCAAATACTGTACAGAAAACATTCCCTCGTTGACAACCTAAAAAATCATCATTAGTAATAGATGTTTATTACCATTGTAAGTAACAAGGAGTCACAAACTAGGAATTTGCTTTGGCTCATGGTGCAACAAGTTATAAAAGGCATACAAATCTTCATACAACGTCTACTATATAAACATACACACAATAGACATGAGATTAGAAGTTTTGTGTTTTTTCTCTCCACAGAAATTTGGCCAAATTAGCAGCAGCTGAAGCCATGACGTGCCGGGACATCCACGCCACGAATGCCTTCTCCTTCATCATTGCCTTTGTGTCTGTGGGGGGCATTGTGGTGGCCTCTCTCATCCCACAGTGGAGAGTGACCAGGCTTGTCACCTTTAACCGGAACGCTAAGAATATCAGCGTGTACGACGGGCTCTGGGCTAAATGTGTCAAACAGGATGGCTATTCAGGATGCTATTACTATGACTCAGAGGTATTTAGTCATGTGGAATATCAATTTGTGGAAATAAAAAGGGTGATTATTGGAAAGATGCAGCCTGACCAGCCAGACCCTCTAAGCAAAAAATCTGTTGGTCTGGCTGGTCATGTAGGAAATATGCATACACACGTAATGAATGCATACATTTGTAATGAATTCTATTGACAATATAGAAATTGACAATATATTGAAAAAAAGAGGCGTGTTGTTTTGGAGATCCTATTAATAACATGTAGATTGAATAATTGAAATAGAGAATTTGAACAATTAGAAATTAGAATATTATTGTTCATGCAATAATCTTAACTTCAGACATAGTTTCAGGCTAGTTGTTGAGTGATGATAATGATAGATTGCTAGAATGTCATTGGATTATCTTTTTAATAATCCAAATATTTATAGCCAACCGTAAAGTTGCATTGAAGAAATTTTAAATTTGTACAGAACTTATTTTCACCGTGTTCTTACATTTATTTTGTGTTTTTCACTTTTTAGTGGTACTCAAAGGTGGACCAGCTGGACTTGCGTCTCTTGCAGTTCTGCCTGCCCACCGGTCTGCTGCTGGGGTCCCTGGCTTTACTGCTCTGTATGACTGGTATGTGCAAAACCTGCTGCTGCTCTGGCAAACCGGACCCGGATCTCAAGACCACGCGGTGCTTAGTAAACACCGCCGGGTGCCATCTCGTCGCAGCCATGTTTTTATTTTTGAGCGGAGCTATCGCCATGGCGCCTTCTGTGTGGTTCCTGTTCCGTACGAAGCAGATGAACGCACAATACGACAACATATTCTCCGATGGGTTTGCGGTTTATGTTTCTATCGGCTGCTCCGGCGGACTCATGCTGTCGTCCCTGCTGATGCTAATGTGGTATTGCATGTGCAAGAAGCTGCCGTCGCCCTTTTGGTTGCCGCTGCCTACAATGCCTAATTCAGTGTCCACTCAGCCTCTCACCGCCAACGGATTCCCCCCGTCTCCAGTCTACGGACCTCAACAGTTCCCTCCTCAAACTTACCCTCCCACAGTGATTGAAACGCAGCCTTATGTAGCGGCTCAGAGCTATGCCCAAAGCGTAGCTCCGGTCCCCGTGCAGGTCTACATGCCCCAAAGATCTGCCCAGATCTGCTCAGACGGTTATGGGTCAGAAGTGGGCGGCCCGCACTCATACAGCTACGCGCCATCTCAGAGTTATGCCCCGTCGCAAAGTTACGCGCCTTCGCAATCGTATGCACCAAGCTACGCAGGGCACCGCTACTCCTCGCGCTCTCGGACGTCCGCCATTGAAATTGACATACCCGTGCTAACACAGTGAAAAGGGAAAAACAAGAAGATGTGCCAACTCTATTCACGATGGTGACAAAGCTGGTATTCAATAGTCTTAAACTGCCATAATGAAGTTACAGTATTTTACTTTTTTGCGAAGCATTGAATGAGAAAAGTGAAGAACTATGTTTAAGATTACGGTTTTACAATGATGCACTGAAACATAAATTGTAGAAAACAATAGTTAACCATTCGATGCACTGATGGGACCAGATTGATGCTGTAAAATGTTGGAATTCCTGCCTTTCTTGGACCGGATGTGCTTTTTTTTTGCTTTTTTACATGTTACATTTTATAACTAACACTCGACACAATTATGACTACTATTAATTTAAACCTGTGTCAAACGTAATTCTTATTTTGCTGTCTTGCTGGCCAGTATCTGCTCCTTTAAATGTAAAATGTAGTGAAACCCTAAAAGTGTCTATAGATTTCTATGAATATAATTGGGGATGTACATGTGTTTGAAGTAGTAAATGAAGAAAGCTTTTGTAACACAATAAGTGGCTCTTATGCATTAACACAAGTTGCAGCTTTGTGCGTTGCCTTGTAATTACTGTATTTTAACGATCAAAGGTCCAATGTTACAGGACGATGAAGGTATTTGCATTGTTTTTCTTTAAATAAAAAAACAGATCCGTTAAATAGTTTCTATTAGTTGAATAGAAGAGTATGTGTTCAGCACAAATCTAAAAAAGTATTTTAATTGGCTTTAGATTACATGGAATTATTTAACTTCATCTTTGAAAGTGTGCAGGATGAGAATATCTGACTCACCATCTGCTTGTCATATTTCCTCGGTTAGCTTCTTCTAATGTGATTCCAGTTAACACTATACTGCACATTATAGCAGAGGAAATAGCTAAATGTATGAACTGAGAATACTACTATCCAGAATACTATTCATGAGTCACTATTCTGAATACAGTATTTGCTGGACTTTAAGCCAATACCTTTATAGCAATGTGTCGTTATTTCAAATACTAGTAGAGACGGGATAGCCTGACTCTCGCCAGACCCTTGTAGATCGCCTTGTGAGTGTAGCGAAACGCCTCTGGTGGAGCATGGCGGAACTACAAGGGTCTGGCGAGAGTCAGGCTAGAGATGGGAAGCATGTTCATTGTCAAAATAGATTGGATTTCCCTGACTGCTTTGATCATCACGAGTAAACAGTGCGTTAAAACACTTCACGTTGTGTCCAGTTACAACAGTATCAGTTTGATTTAGCTCCATCAGCTGTTGGTTAAGTGTTACATTACAACAAGAAAACTTAAATTCAAGTGTGGCCTATATGTGGAGAAAAAATACTTTTTCAAATGTATCTGGTGCAGTTTATATACAGGTCCAGAAAGTACTGTACTAATCTAACATTTTGGTATTTGATCATATTATAAACAAATAATAAAAACTCAACTCTAACTTGTGTACTGTATGTAGGCATGCCTGACCCTGTGTTTATAACAAGACATACCATTTTACACAAACAGTGCAATCACAAGCTTTTATTTTAGAACATGCATTAGAAATCCACTGGATTTGTTTATTATGTATGTGCAAATTAGATTATTGTATCAGGATAATAGATTACTGAAATGTATGCTAATTGAAGTCATTCAAATAGTGATTTTGATCAGTGATTAATCTGAATTATGTGCATAATTTGATCAGAGACTGTAGACTAGCAGTTCTGGTTGACTTCCCAATAATTCCAGTTTAGTCTTTGTTTGTCTATTCATAGCTCCGGGGCGATGGTCTGTATGCGGTGCTGGTGTGAACAGTGCACCGCGGCCTCCTCTCGGCGGGGGCCGTGTCGGGTTCAGGATTAGGCTCCACTCACAGATGGCTTTCATATGTCACGCTACAAAGAGACAGCGTTGCCATGGGAGACGGCCTCATGAATATAAAAACACGTGGGCGGGACTTGTGTGAGTGAATGAATGCACTGCTCCCTGCTAAGTGACAACATGGGCCAGGTCATGAGCCCTTAGTTAGAGTGTGTGCGTGTGGCACAATCCAGATTCTGCAGAGTTTACATAAATTATTACATCACTGAGATGTTACTGAGCAAATGTGTAACCTGGTCAAAACTCTAAATTACAAGAACGTGCTAAGATTAATGGAAATAAATCATTAGGGCGTAAAAAAAAAATGCATTTGGCATTGAGAATTCTGCTCGTCTGGGAAAATCCATTTTGCTGTGAGCGCTTGAATTATTTCGAACTGCACAACAAATATTCACTTTGATAATTTATAATTTCTTAAGCTCCATTGTGTAGCTTTTCTATCAGTTATTGTGGATTTCATTCAAACGTTTACAGAAAAGACACATTATTTTAATAAGATAAATATGGTTAATCAAGATTATTTTGAATATGATCTGCCATACTATTTTTTTAAGAGAGGTAATTTGCTGCAGCCCTCCAGGACCTGAATCTATCCGGACGAATAGATATAAAAATGATTTAATATTTTGATACTCACAAGAAAACTACTCACAAGTACTCAGCAAAGACCTGAATCATTAAAATAATCTGCCATTCATTGGATCAAGAGTTCCCATTCACATTTCACTTAACCCACTTCATCTAATTTCACTGGAATGTTTTTGTTTTCTGCATTTTATGTGTCTATCAATTGTATTTATATTTACTATCCTGGTGCACACTGGGGTAGCCTTGCACAATTTTTCCAGTGTGGTTTTACTGCAAAGGGTGAATAGATTCTTGAATCTTATAGTCTATAAACAAATAAAGTTCAAACCTTAATTTTTATTTTTTTTAAAGACAGAACAAGAAAATAAGTTCAATTATGTCTTACTTCAATTTACTACTTAAAATCATAAGCTATGGATCTTCAGTGTATTTGAAATAGTGTATTCCAATAGAAAATACATGAATCTGAATCTGAAACTGTATGCTACTATTACTGATACTGAATGAGCCTAGTTGATACAGTCTACGTTCCCCATGACAAGATACATAATAAGGGAAAATATTTATATAGGCTCTAATTATATATATCCAAAATACTCCAAATATCCTTCTTAGTGTTGTAAAGTGTTCTATTACAACGCACATACTCGATAATGTTGCCACTGGCCTAAATATTAGCTAATTACTGTCATCCAAATGAGCTATTCTACCAGCAGCATTAACCTAGTCTCATCCAATCAGCTTCTCCAAAACCCACAGAGTAAAAAATATTCCCTTTGGCAAAATCTCAAGAGGTATAGAGCTGCCCTCCCCCAAAGTCAGCCATAACCCCAGCATCACTCCATCATCATCTCCCCTCCCCCGTCTTCATGATGGTATTTTGGCTCGTCAGCTTTGGGTTCACTGCTGCAGAGACGAGGATGGAACATGAGGCTGGTTTTTTCCAAATAGAAGCAACATTTTACTGAACTCAAGCAGAGGCCTCACCGCAGGAGCCTCAAAGTGCAGATGGAGTTGAAAAGGTGTCCAGCCATATGCCACTTTTAGTCCGTATATGCAATCAGCTGTAACAAATCGTGATCTTCGTAGTACAGCATGTGGACGCCAAGCACCATCATTTCTTCATGTCAGATATAGTGATTTTTTTTCCATACAGAAGATAGTGAGTTATTGGACAAACCACAACTTGGTTATCTTACTGGTATTTACTGAATTATACATTTGGGGGAAAAAAATCCAATTTGTGCTTTATTCTTAGGTCCATCTATATCAGGGGTCTGCATTAATTGTCTTCATGAGGCCACATTGGGTCCAGACCTATTTTCATATTGGTAATTTTGTATTTAATTTAGCCAAAAGCTACTTCAGTTATATAACTTTACTAATAATATTTTGGGTTCATTAACTAGAACAGAATAAATTTATTACATGCCATGGTAGCAAAAGTTGTCATTAAGTATTGCATGAGTTATTGAAATAAGCAGCAGATCCACTTGAGGTTTTTGACTGGGAAGGGCCGGATTAATGATGTTGTTTTGCGTGCATCATTCCACAATATGACATTATATTTTCCATCTACATTCAGACAAGAAAGTGCTTTTGCTTGTTTAAAGATGGAACGTTTAGCTCTTGAATCCTGGACCATTTCTACACAGTTTCCCACAAACGGTTCCATACATTTTTCTTACATTTTTATCTTCTCTTTATTCTTGATTTTCACAGTGCAGGGTTACTTATGTCTGTGGAGAGGCGAAACGAGCAGACCCAATGGAAGATTCCGGGCATTTAAGCCGTTTCCAAGCGAAGCAATAATATCTCCATGGCAACAAGCAGGTAGCGGCCCACTTTTATTATTGCTCACAGTGGGTATATTGGTACATGTCATTATTCATGCTTGACTAAAACAAAGGACTGGTGACCAATACATGTGCTTGCTTCAGTCCTGAGCTCTGCCATTAAGTGCAGAGACTTGAGGGAAATCCACAGTCATTCTTGGCAAAAGAAGTGCCCAGATCTATAAAGCAGGATGGACGTACAGTAAATGGTTTGAAAGGCCATAAATGGTTCCATCCTGGTTATTGACCGTATTTGTGGCATACCAATATTGTGACCAAAATAGTAAACTCTCGCCTGTTAGGAGAGCTCCAGTGAAATACAGTCCTTAATGTTGTTGATTGATATAGTTTATTGGCCCATGTAAGTAGCTCACATCTAAATATTTGTGAAATATTTTGTTAAGCACCAAATATTCCTGAAAAAACACTATAGTTAGTGGCACTAGACATAAATGCACAAGTGAAGTGTGCCAGGAGCAAACAGCTTCAGGGAGCGTCATCCGTGGCTCAGTTTGACAGCCACAAAGCACAGTCCCATTCATATTCTACACAGATAATCTCAAACTAGCAGTTTATGGCAGTGAGTTTAGTGTGAAAATATGCAACAGCATTTAATATAACCTGACAAACCTGTGAACCTGTGAACCCTTACAAATTCTTACTAACAATGAATTTAAACATTTCAGATTAGGATTAGGAGATTCTTTATTTGTCCCACAGTGGGTGATTTTCAGTTTTAGAGCAGGTCTTAGAATGAAGGTGAGGAACTTTATCTACTGGGATCTATTTTCGCTTTATTGATCAATTAGAATTGTCTTTTAAATTGACTCTTTTCTTAATTTTCATGTTTTTTTTTTTTAACCAGGCTGACTTACCACAAATGTTCCATTTGAAAATAACATATCCATTTAGGTTATTAGTTTTAGTTGTACTTTGTCTCTTATGAAGTTTCAGGGCTAAACCTAAATCCAAAATAGTCAAATATTCTCAATAGATATACACACAAAAACTGAACTTTCAAGGTCTGAAAAAAACCTGTCTTATATAAGCTTCATGTATAATTGACATCACAGCGTCTTCAAGTGACCTGAGGACATATTTTTAGCTGAAGATTTGAAATCTTGTTTTGCTGTTTCACTTAATAATTCAGGTCTGAAAACACAGAAGAGGAGTGACAGAGACAGAGAGGCGGTGGACTGAACACAACACAAACAGTACTACAGTACTATTACAGAGACCAAAACATCTCTTTCTGATGACAGATAATTTGCTATTGAAGAAAAAAAAAACTATATGATCCAAGTCCAAATGTTCATGACCTTTTAATCAAAAACTGGCCAAAGCAATATAAGTAGTCAGTTTGTGTTTCGTATACGTCCATGACCGCTCTTGTCTCACTCTCTTTGACCCTCCTCGATGAACAATTGGCCATATTTCACTTAGACACTTTTAATTATACAGATATTATCACATTCAGACTAATGGTTCATTCCTCTCTCGTATAATTCTGTCAGTGACACTAGCTAATTTCATATATGTCCTTAAATTAACATGCTCATAAATTTAAGCTACATGACATTTGTGCCAAAAAAATAAAACAAAAAATTAGGATATTTATATTTAAATGTAGATTTTTATTATAAACATTGGTGTTGGAGTCAAAATCTTGCCATTTCATAAAATAAAGACATTCTTTAATTTAAGTACAGAGTATATAAGATTAAGACATTCTTTATTTTTCTTCAAAAATCATTTTGTCACACACTCAATTGATGTAAGAGTGCCATAATCTTTTACCGGGGGTTCTGTCTCGCTAAGAAAAGACATTGACCTGTCACACACACTTTGAATTATTGCATAAATATTGCTATAAGATATAAAGTCTGCATTTGTTAACTTTTGTAGTTATTTTCTTTGGATGAGATAACAAGTGGTTTTATGTAATTTTTTAGTATAATATATTGTATTTGCCTGAAGCCCCCACTGAAAGATCTCAGCTCCTGTGGACTCACCACCTGCAGGAGGATCAGTGAGGGTCTGGTGCTCTGTGTACTGGGTTCAGCTCTGGCCACCCCCGCGACCCAGAAATGGATTAAGGGGAAGAAAATGGATGGATGGATATATTATATTATTATATTAGCAGCAGGAGTACTCACATCTTTGCCGTCTTGATCTCTTGGTTCAATCTTGTAAGTGTGATTCCCGTCAAAAAACAGCCCACTAAAAGAAGCAGACAGACATTAGCAGAGGAATAAATGTTTATTCAACAGATTGTGACTCAGGATCAGTCTGTGTCACTCTTTCACCGAGAAATGCTTTTGAGTTTAGAGAGGGCAATTACAAGGTTACATCTGTACAAATCTTACAGTCAAGATGAAAGATCAAGATACCAATATTCCAACGTAATCTTCCAGCTCTTGACCATGAACCTTTACAGATCCATGCACAATGGTCCCCATGTGCTCTCTAATCATTCTCTATTGCTTTGTGGGGACACAGTAAAGTGCAGAGTTTTCTCAAATGTCTAATTTCTGCCCTTTCAGAACAATCAGAACATATGGGTTTTCTGAAAAACATTACCAATAGGCAGGTGTAGCAGGGCCACTGGGCTTTGATTGTATGGTTTCAGATAAATCATACCTAGTCTAGAGCTAAATATTTTGTCAAATCATAAGTGCCCAAACCAGGCCATCTATGGAACACATATTTCATGCCTAAAGCTAAAACTAATTGAATCTTTTTTTTGTATTATTCCAATTAAATTCTACATAATGGGCTGAGCGGGATTCAATATAAAGATCTCACTCCGCAGAGTTAAAGCTGTCAGACATACCATCACCTGTAGATGGACCGTTACTCATTACTTACTGCACTGTTACTCCATATGGTGGAAGCACTGCCACCATTCCAGATTACAATATATTATGAATACATTATGTTTTCTATAAATACCACAGATACACAGATACATTAACCTGGTCTGTAGCACAATCAACTATACATTTGGTTATAGATGAGATCATTACAAGGAGCCATGATTTGTCCAAATGTCTTCAGACAACAATAGTTGGAGGTGATCTAAGTATGCATCATGCCTGTTCAGTGTTGATACTTACTGTAACCCATGGCAGGTGGATAGAGCCACAAAGGACTGGGAGATTCCCCTGACCTTCCCCTGATAGTAGCAGTGCTCTCCTCCCTGCAGCAAAAACATGGAGTAATATTACAAAAAGGGTTTCATTTACATTAAAAGGGTCATTTGGATTGAGTTAGGCTGAAATACTTGTTACTGGTTATTACTATTTTACTTGGTTCAGACATTTAACTTGAAAAAGAAAATATGAATGATGTCAAAAAGTGTGATCTGTAATACAAACACAGTCACAAAAATCTAAATAATCCATGACAATACTCTCATAATGATTAAATAAAGAAACTTTGTAACATGGCGTGGAGACAAGGTGGTGGCAGACCAATGGTAACGTAGTGCACCTTTCAAATCATTTTAACCCATGCTGGAGATTTTCTATTTGGCTGTGTGCCTCTCGAAGTGCTTTTATGCAATGAAATATTCTCTGTGCTGCTTTCATTGCCATACAGCCCATCAGGAAATGTGCCTGACACGATCAATCACACAGAATTCATTTTCTCCACACATAAATGTTCAGGTTGAGATCATAGCGGCCGAGCAGCGAGGCAGCCATTCACAAGGACACTGCATGTATTCTCCACTCTTCTTTAAAATGTAAGACTTTAAACTCTTGACACAATACAGGGGTACAGGGGTTTAAAATGACTTATGCAAAAACAATTTCAAACATTTCAATGAATCAATTTTCATAAAAGAGAGTGTTTTTCCATAACATATTATCCATTTGAATCCATTAAGTTTCCAAATCTAGACGAGTTTTGGCCTAAACTGCTTCATTCAGTGCATGCCAGGATCAGGTATGTGCAATAATGTGTACTCAAACATTAAGGACTCTTTATTGGATAATGAATGTTGTTGTAATGTATGATTTATTTTTTGCATTTGTATATAATCTTTGTGACTCAAACCCTTGGGACTACAAATGGTTTACAGTTATGTTTTATCATGACCATGCACTGTCAGATTAATGAAGAATCGACTTTATGGCAGGACTAACCATGTGCACCCTAAATCTTAAACTAAGCTTCTACTCAAGTTATTGTTAGTTTTATTCAGTGTATACAGCTGAAAGTGCATGCATACGTTAATCTATATAACTGGGATAAACGTGCCTTGCATTCTGGCTGTGTACAGTTTACAAGTCATAGCGACGTGCTTTTTCCACCCACTGCATCTGCACAGTCGTTTCCTATAGACCCGTGTACTGTCTGAGTGCTCCCTCTCTAACAGCCTTTAAGCAGGAAGCCCGTCCCCCAGAGGAACTGTGGCTTTTATCGCTGGATCAATTTCTGCACTTCGCTCTGATGCAACACAACTTTTACTTGTTCTTGTGCCTTTGGATTATATAAAAAAAATGCAGTCAAATTTATATGTTTTTTTTGCTTATAAGAATAATATTGGATTGGCCTCGTCATGATACAAACATATCTCAATTAATTTTAAACACAACTTTAATTATATAAATAATATGTCTGACACTTAATTATCATCAACATTTGCATCATGTACGTATCTTTTGATAATTTAAGTACAGAGTATATAAGATAACATTTATTCACCTAAAATTGAATTGAATTGTATTTTTTTTAAAGTTAAGCATTTGTTATTTCAATGTTCTAAGTTGATTTGAAATCCACCAGACGAGAATCCATCTCCCGTGCGTCCTCTTGACTTATAATTGTCCTTGCCTGTTTGTATGTTGTAATCTTGTCCGACCACTTATCTCCGCTCTCATGGTAATTAATGAATCCCCCCAACAACAAACAAACAACAAGGGCAAGGACACGCCGACTTCTCAATGGGTTTTCTATTATCTCTAGCTTTTATCTCATAGAGCAAAGTTGCCAAAGTCTGGGGAAATGACCCCCCTTTACTGATCACGAGACTCCATGCGGCCCCCCAATCTCAGATCACATCAAATCACACGACAAAACCTATGTAATTGTTTTCCTTGTAAATTTAACCAAAACACTGAATTAAAGTTGTGAAACAGAAGAATTTTGTAATAATTATAGGACCTTTACAGCTATCAATTCGCATATCGGATGTCAGCAGATTATTGAAAGCCAAAGTATTAAGATTAGTATTGGACATAAAAAAAAGCTGGATCAGAGCATCCCTAAAAGTGTGATGTGGAAAATGTATATATATTTGGATATGAAGACTTACGTTAAGAAGATTAACAGTAACTCGTTCCCAATGGCCTTTCAAAATATGAATCCCAAAACATAATTGGGATCAAATCTCAACCGCTATAGTTTAAATCTGTCCATTCAGCCTGAAAAACTCTGTTGTTGAATTACAGTATGACAACCACATAAGTTTGGGATCTCTTTCTTGAGCTCTTTAGATGTTTCTGTATTCTGTAACATGAAGATAATTCTCTTAAAAGGATCTAATATCTGCCTAATCTGCTTCTCAACATCTCAACACAGGATAATCCCCTCTGAGTGCATGTAGTGGACCAACGTGGACAGGATTAGGGCACTTAACCATTTACCAGAGATGGCTAATTGGGCAGCTAATTGTTTCAAATCCGATCTATCCATTTATAGAGCCTGATAGGTCCAATCTCTGTGTGGATTTAACATGTATGACTAGAGGATCAGGAGTTCGGTCACTGAAAACCGAAATTAAAATGCCTGCATCGTACACATAGTGAAGCTAGTGGTTTATAGACACAGAAAAAATAACATAAAAGTAAAAGAACTAAGATTAGGATTAAGAGATCCTTTATTCGTCTCACAGTGGGGAAATTTCAGTTGTGCATCACTGGTCACAGAACAGTAGAAACGAGAGAGCAGGGGCCTTCACATAGTCGATTAATTCTTAGTATTAATGTGACTGACCCATCTGATCAACAGGCCATTTTGTCTCTGATCGCTCTTTGCACCTCTAAGTATGGCATAGACTTCCAAAGCAAAATTTTCAAAAATACTAAATACAGCTGAGCTAACATGTTAACAGCGACTTGGCCTGTGCTTGAATGTCACAGATAGTAGATGTATACATTTGTTTGATATTATTAACTGGTCATAAAAGACACTTACATTTGTAACAACTGCAGTTCCCGTCTCAGATAAATGCCTCTCCACGTAGTCTGACGACAGAAGGTCACTGTAAGAGAACAGAAAGTGTGTCAAAGTGGGCTCATGCCCTCTAAATCAAACAAGACAACAGTGCTATCATGATTTTGTGGCAACATCAAACCTCCGCACGTTCTGATTAATTGAGAACAGAGCACTAGAGATTGGGCTATTTTCAGAACACAAATACAATTATCCAAAGCAGCCCACACGCCCACCGATGTCCAGAGTTTAGACAGAAGCACAGGCTGTTTTTTGAGCTGTGGAGTTTTCCATTCTCTTATTTGTCAAAGAATCAGATTTTTAATATTGTGAAGCAGAACTAAACATTAGTTAGAAACACGACTCAAAAGTTTATGATTTTTCCTTCCAGAAAGTACAAAGTGAACAGGGACAATAATGAGTCACCTACACGTTGGCTTATGAATAAAGAAAGAACATGGACTATTGCATTATAGTGAGAGCCACGTGAGTCATTATATGCCTCTTTGGGCTGATTGGCTGCTGCTGGAGTAATCCACCCTGAATCACTGTAGTGTGTGACTGTAGTGAAGCTGCTTCTGGTTGTGCTTGCAGACATTCACGTGAAGGAGCCATTACAATGGATAAATATTCACTTCCTTCTTTAGAAAATCCAGAATGGTGAGCTTTTTGGCATCTAAAGAACTAATCAAAAGAATAATCGTTAAAACCCTGGGTATATTTATCAATCCAGGTGCTAAACAGTGAAAGTAAGATAATTGTGCAATTGTGTGGGTTTAGTTCCAGGCAAAGCAAGGCAAGTTAATGTATAGCACAATTCATACACAAGACAACTCAAAGATACACAACAAGGCATTAAAATCATAAATATCACTGCACGTTAAAAAGAGTAAAGATAAAATCCCTCAGTTGTATGCATAGCCAAACATCGTCAGAGAAGAAGACTGTCTCACATTTAGCTGAATAAATCTGAAATGCTGCCTCCCCATGTTTAGTTCTGACTCTGGGCACCAGCAGGAGGCCAGTCCCTGTGCTCCACAGAGTCAGAGTTGTTTCATATGGCACTCGGATGTCTCGGATGTACTAGCTGCTTTTAAGTCTATGGGACATATACTGTAGATGAATCAATTTGCTCCGATGTTATGAGGTGGTATTCAGTTTAGCACACAAGCAAGTTGGTATATTATCCCAAAAATATGTACCGTCACAATAATGAGGGGAAAAAAACATGCATTCCAGCATACTTAGAAGTTATGCTATGAATCTATTGCAGATAAATATAAAGTACAGAGTGGGCCATGAGGTGGAGCCATGAATATAGCAATGGAAGCAGAGAGAATGGCGGGATGGACATAAATAAGGCGAATAGGAGTGTATGCTGTTTCAGCAGAGCCATAGATCCCAATGGAGACTCGGAGTGCAGGCCTAATCAGTGACAGAGATGTATGGGCTGCGGCCGCACACACAGGAAAAGTGAATGGCTAAGCAGCAGGACAAAAATAAAGATTACATGAAACGCCTCAATCCTGACTCTTTCTCTCGGACTCGAATACACAGAAAATGTCCAAAAATGTTCTGCTGTATAAATATTACTGCAGTGTAAATGGTAACATCAGCACGGTGTTTATTTTTATGTCTTACTCTGCTGACTCAGTGGATTATAATGTACTTACAAAAACAATGCACCTCTAGAGATCTGCCATTTGTACACAGCTTTTAAGGTGACAGAACAAGAGTGTGGATACAAAGGGGCTTGATCAAACTGGGTACGGTGCAACCTATATTTAGAACATTTTATGCAACTATTTATTCATCTTTAAGTATACAGGGAGGGCTCAGAGACAGTTCCAGCTTTTCTTATGTGCAACAACAACACAAATATATGTGCAATTATTATGAAATATTGTAACCAGGTACAGTTATGTTCATAATATTATAAACTCAATCAAATGGTTAAAATATGAATTTGTCTGACTTGGAAAAGGTTAAAAAGTAAATACATTTTTGAGAAAGTGCACCATTTGTACAAAGAATTTCTAAAAGCAAATGGCCCTGTGATCTCTTCAACCCTGTGGAATTTGGTAAAGAAACAAGTCAAAGATAAGATACAGTGACTATTACACACTGTAATATGCCTTTAGGCATATGTAAAATGTGTCTTTATGCTTTTAAGGAAAAGTGTTTTTAATGCACGACAGATGCTGTTTAGTGTCTACTGCCTTCTAACTCTGTGCGGTAGAGCAAGTTGATTCAAAAAGCAAAAAAGAAATTCAAAGCAAAAACATAAAACAATGTGAAGTTATGATATGCAGAACAAGTCTATTGAAGTAATATTTGCTTTAGAAAGAGTGTGAAAATGACTCATCCCACAGTTCAACAGAATGAATAACAAGCTAAAAGTTGATTCAGCATAAAACAACAACTTTTGAAATGTGTGTGAGGATTAGATAGGTATTTGGCCTACATGCAGGACAACTGCACAGACTATACAAGGACTCTGATGGTGCATCCATGTTATGACTATGATTTGCTCTGACTGTCTCTGTGTGACACGTATGTTTTTTGATGTGTGACGTAACAATGACTATATATAACATGTACTGACTCCATTTTGGTCTGAGAGAAAGAAACAATTGAAACCACTGGAACTTGAGAGAAACCTAAATAAACTTCCAGAGCTTGGCGCACCACAATCCGTCTCTGTCTGGTTGGTCTGTCAAAATTCGTTTTGAGAATTATGAGAGCCTTATATATTTTAAGACTATGTTGACTATGCTGGCCCCGCACACCGTGACGAGGCCACCATCATCACTTATTTTGTTCAGCCATTTTATCATTTTTGTCATCTGTGATATGCAGATGATTCGCCAGTGTTGCACATGCATTTTTGCTCAAGGAAATTTTAAAAACGCTTATTTCCAACTTTGTCTGCAGTCTGAGCTGAGCCTGCGATGACTTTAATGTGACCACATTTATGAATAAGTCAGATGCAGATATGGAAAGACAAAATGTGAAATTGTGGACTCATTTCACTTATATCTATAAGTAATCTTTATATATATATATATATAGCACCTTTGACAGACCAGAGTCACAAAGGGCTTTACAATTGTTGTGAGTACTTGTCCTCTCACTCCACACAGAGATGGGAGCGCGGTTGCCGAACAGGAGACGCATTCATAACAAGTATTAGGGCTTAAGTTAACTAAATTCATAAACAGTAGCTAATTTTTCAACCTCACATACACTCAAACATGCAGAGAATAGATTTTTTGCCGCAGATAAAGGAATGCAGAATGAACTGAAAATGTGTATACAACATTTTTTGTCAAAAAACCCAATTTGTAAATCCTCTCTATGAAGAGAGTCTCCAGGAGCATCACTTAAGCTTGGTTAGAAAAAAAGTAATCAATCAGCCATTGAATTATAAAGAAGAGTTGAGTATCATAGATGTCATACTATACTACACCACACAACAGACAGAATCCAATTACGAGGAGAAGCAATGCATGGATACACAAAGTAGTAGAATTCCTTTTGTCGTTTTTGTTTTTACCTAACTTGTCATTCTTGTGATGTACAAAGTCTGCAGCAGCTTAGTGTGCTTATGTGTATGTGTGTATGTGTGCGGTAGACTTCTCTGATCTCTGCTCTTCTCTAATGCGCCGCCCTGATAACACATTTCTGCTATAATTGTTACAGGATTTAAATAATTTATTGGACAAAGCCGCAGCCTCAGCCTCTTAATCAGACTGCAGCTCCCCACCCCCACATCACAAACAAGCAGAGTCACCCCCGGTTTGAGTTAACAATATGGAGCGACTCGCTGTAATGAAGCAGCAACATATTGTCATGTGCTGTTTCCAGAGGTTCACGGAGGAATAATGTTTACTTTGTTTGTGCGCGCGCAATAAGAGCCTCACAAGGGTCCAAGGAAGTCTCGTTAGCAAACATTGGCTCAGAAGAATAAAACAGCAGCTCTGAGATAATGTGCTGCAACAGTAAATAAATCTGTTAACGTTGACAAAATGGGAGCCTAAATCCTGAAGTTATTGTTTGTAATAATGATTGAAGTGGAATTAATGTGAGGTTAGTTTTTTATAATTGCTGTGCTTGTGTTTTTGGATCTTTTAGAAACTTCTTTAAAGACTATTGTCGTTATAATTTTATGCAGAAGTCAGTCATTTTCCGCTGTTTTTGTGCTGATCAAAAATGTGGAGTTTTTAGCGACATGTTTAACAGCTCTCTCTCACAGCATAAAATACCATCATTGTGGAAAGAGTCAGTGGCAAAAACAAAGTCTCTGCGAGAGTTAAAGGACTTTCGGCCTGTGGCTCTGACTTCACTAGTGATGAAGAGTTTTGAACGAGACTGGACCAATCATCCAAACAGATCACCTGAAGTGCAGATGATCCAGTCCTGGTCAGTCTGCTCGTGTGTCATCCACTTCATCACACTGAACATAAAAAAGACTGTGGTTCTCAACTTTGGGAAGGCTCCAGAGACCTCACTACCTCCAACTGTCATCCACGGCTCTGCAAAGCCAGCAGTGGAGTCGTACAAGTATCTGGGAACCGTCATGGACAATAGTTTGATGAGAACACGTCGCAGATCTCTAAGAAAGGGGCTCAAAGACTGTACTTCCTACGCTGACTCAAATTCTTTTATGTGGAAAAGTTTCTGATGATGCTTTATTTTATAGTTTTAAACATTAAATATGAAATGACAATTAAATGGAGTCCAGAATGTATATATACTGGAAGGTTAGTGACACATGCATAATCAACACAATAAATCAATGCAAGTGTGCACAACTTCTAACATCATGTTTCTCAAACCACTGCTACCTACATTGTTGAGTGTTTTTGCCCTTATTGCCATAACAACGTGTGTTTCGAAGCCAGTGGCCAGTTATCAATAATAGCCTGCAGAGCTGCAGTTACATTTACACAGCAATGCCATGCCTTTCTCGCCTTCACTTTTAATGCCAGCCAACTCTCACGCAGTCTGAGCTTGAAAATGGAATAACACTTATTGAGTGGGCGTAGA